TCTGTACACATCCTATATATGTCCTGTAGGACTCTTTTGTCTTTTAATCTTAAATATCAACTTCACGACATTATGTGGAAAAATAACATTGTTATTGTTCAACATTTCTGAAAATCAAGGGAGCATATGGTTGGGCTAAATGGGGAGGAAGAGGTTTACATATTGTTTTTTACTTATAGGGAATTAGAAGTTGAAAAAAATCACACAGATTAGGGCTCCATTGTGCTAGATACTATGAAAAAGGTAGGAGTGAGAAGAGCAAATTTGAGAAGACTGTTATAATAATGGAAATTTAATATTTTGTTTAGTACTGTTGAAACTTGAAAGGGTTACTGTTCCAAAGTATTCAAACTTATGTAGGATAAATATATATATCCTACTATGTATAATATATATATAATATATAAAATAAAGGATAATAGAAAAAATTACTAGTCAAGAGAATCTACTCAGAAAAATTAGCAGTCACTCTCAAATTCACAGGGACAGCCTGAAGACTGATCAAAGTAGGAACTCACACCCAAGACCCTTCACTGCTGTAGCCATGAGGCCTCAGTCCTCTTCCAAGCAGGAAGTTTTGAATATTCAGAAAGCTTGAAGCTGTCTCCCTCCTTGTACAATATTTGCTCTGATGACAAAACAATGCCAAGCAGTTACTTTTTCATATCACAACAAGGAAGGAAATTATTATGTTGGAATCATGTGCCAGACTTTCACTTTAGCAGAGCACTTTTTTTGAGCAGAGGCCTAATTGTGACAAAAATGATCTGATCTTCATTCAATTTGGATGAAAAAGAAGAACAGTAGCATTCTTATATCCATCTGACATAATGTTTCAGTCTATTATTACATGCACCTCTACAAAGCTTACAGTACCTTCTCTCTAATTTGAAGGTTAGCAACATTCCTCTTTGACTGTCTCATGGATTGCTGCATAACTGTAATAATGCCTGCTGCTGTTTGTTTTTTTTTTTGTTTGTTTGTTTTTTTAACATTAGCAGGGAAAGATGCTTGTTACTGAAAATTAGACAGTTAAAACTATTCAGACAAAGTACAGCCATCTTTAATGTTTTAGAGTTTATTTTTCTATATATATGGGATTTAAAATTTAAAAAGATGCTATCAGGAAAAATTTGTATGTGTAACTGTTACAAATAAAAATCATATTTGTAACCTGTATCTTCACCTTTTTTTTTTTTTTTTTTTTTTCCTACTGGTAGCCTCTTAAATGCTGAAAGCTGAAATTTTTCTTTTTTCCCCAACTCTGTTGCTTTTTTGGTATCATCATTGAATCCCAAATCAAGAAACCAAGGCCAAATTCTCAGATGAGGTAAGAAAATACAGAAATACTTGAAGCTTACGGCTAAGATGAGGGTACCATTTTCTTAAATATACAGAGTATATGAAAAGAAGTACATGATGTACAAGAAACAGAGGACAGCTGGTGAAAAGTGCACAAGTCAAGGCCTAACCATTCAGCTGTATCTACAGAGCCTCTAGTTGGCCATGTCCAGCAGTACCCTCATGGCCAGTCTCTACTTACAAGCACAGCTACAAATTCGGTCACAGTCCACTTTCTATTGCAGACAGACATCTTTGGCATCGTACACTGCCACCCTAGCTGAATTTCAGACACCTGCAGCAGAGAGAGTACCTCTCACTCAACACCTACTAGACCATCTTTCCTTTGTGCGTTACCAGTTTTTCACTCATTTACACTAGATAAATTGTGGCCTTACACTTAGCAGTGCAGTTTAGTTCTGTAAGACATCTGAATTATATCTGTCTTTAGGCTATCCATACTGACTAAACTTCAGAATTCTTATACAGTGTCTGTTGAAGGATACATCTTACAAAACTGGGTATTTCTTCCATCTTATTCCAGTCCAAAGTATAATACCTTAACCATTAGTTGGATATTTCATTGACAAAATGGGGATATGAATATACAGAAATAATGTAAAGAAAATTGATTATTTTTCCTTTGTCAATGTCAGTCACCAGAAAGCAGTCAAGCCAGTATGAATTTTGTAATGACCAGCAGTCAGTATAGTAAAAGTGGGTATGGTCTGGTGCAATCATGGAAGCCATGAGGAATGAGTCCACCATGTCTTACCAAATTACACATGGTGAGACAGCCTGGGAGCACTTCCAAATGGGAAATAAGATAACTGGGCTTTGTAGGCACAAGGACACACAATGCAATTGCATATTCACCTGAGAACTGGCAGACTATTAAACATACAAGTTTTGGAAGCTGAAACTAGAAAGCAAGCATGTATGTCCTTTCAGATGCAGGAAAAATAAATAAATAAATAAATAAAGTTTTCCACTGAAACAACATGTTGAAGAAAAATGGCATGATTTCTAACCTGAATTCACATTTTTAACTAAACTTCTCAATACAGATGGGAAGAATTCCCTTCATGAACAACTTGTCTCCAACAACAAAAAGTATGTCTGGATACGACTTAGGATAAGACTGTCGTGTCTCATGAGAAGAATTGTTCATCTCCTACTAAAACTCATCTCATAGTACTAAGGCTGAGAAAAAAAGAGATTGTTGATGAAACAGAGTTTAAATCAATGCTACTTACTAAAGATTAGGATAAATATGCAGTGATACTACTGACTGTGGCTGGTACTTTCTGTGTACATAAAAACATTTTCAAAAGTACTTAGGACACCTAAGAGAGGTATCTGGTTCCAGATACCTATATGAAAATCTCAGTCTTCATAAATTTTTCATATATACCAATGTTGAGTATACATAGAATAAGCTTTTCCTTATGTATGTACCTATCAATACTATGAATGATAACAGCAATAAGATGGTATGCTCTTCACTGAAACAAAGCTTTTGTGTGCAAAAGCAAACAATGTAAGAATGTACCTAACTCTCATTATATAAGTGAATAAGCAGGGTTGCAAGCTAATTTACGTGTGAAATGTTGACTCAATTGTATTCAATGGCAACAGTGCCAGTAACCTTAGATGATAGATTTCACTCATGAACTCTGATACAACCATTGGCACATAGAGTCTGTAGACAAGTTCAGAAATAGAGCAGCTTAGCTCTCTGGCTTTAAATGCAGTCCTCACTCTCTTTAAAACCAATTTCTGGTCAAGACCCTTTCTTCATCAGTCTGTAGGTGTATCTCCTGTAAGCTTCTGTTAGAGTTACGAATTTGTCTCAAAGATAAACAGACTGCTTAATTATTAGTTGGTGGTGCATGACAGAATTTTGGGAACAGCACTGTTAATGTCACATGAACAGTAAATATGCTCATGCTTTGAAGTTTGGAAGTAGGTACCAGTTGCCTTCACTATAATGAAAATATGCACTTTATTATTATTATTATTACTAGCAAGCCTATTTTCATGAGATAATCATACTGATTTAGATCCCTATGAAAGCTGAATGACTGCTCAAATAGGGCTCCTCAGTTCTGTGCCCTGAATAGTTATAATAAGAGTCCAAACATTCTAGGAATTGTCAGAACATTTTGCAGCAATAACATAGAGTTTTGACAATGCTAGTCTCAGTAAATGCATGAGCAGTGAAAGATGTATTTAGTAGCATCTGATATTTCTGAAATGCCTGCTATGTGTGTGAAAAAGCTTTGAGGAACATAATTTCTGTAGCTGTTACAGTTTGTGTACTACAGAATCTATTGGTTTCCTAAGATTTTGAAAAATACCTGTGAATGAATTAGTATGCATAAATGCAGGAGCCTTCAAAATGCCAAATGGCTCGTTTTCAGAAGCAACTTTTCTTTTTTACAAGCATCTATACTATACAAAGTACAGAATTTCTGAATTAAACCTAGATAAACATTTCTGTAGTATTTCATAATTTACAGTTATTGATGGTTATAAAGCTTTCAAATGTTAAGCTTTGCATTTTGTTAGAGACAGTTATCAATATTCAGGTAACAGATTTAAAAAAATGAGATCGGGGGAAAAAAGCACATCAGTACACTCATGCTTATGAAACCAAGCCACACTAGCAGTAGACTACAGGCAGTGCTGTTAAGCAATCTGCTAGCGGACTTCCTTTCAACTATGCCTAATTAGAATTAAGTATTGAAAGACACATATGCCATCAAAGTAGAAACATTTTTCTTCATAAACATAAAAAAATAAATCAGAATGTCAGGAAGTATACTAACAAATAGCATAAAGTCCTGTTCTGCTATGCAGCCAGTAACTTAAACAACTACTAGCAGTATATGCTGTACTGATTTCTCCATGTGTGTCGAGCACACACAGCACAGAGAACTTTTTATCCATAAACAAACTTAAAAGAAGAAGAAAGAAAGAAAGGAAAAAAAAAAAAAAAAAAAACTTTTTGAGGAAATACACCAGACAATTGCAAGCTTACTCTAACTCCTTTGCAAGTTAGAGGAACAGCCGAAGTCAACTGTTTCATAACTGCTGCTGAAAAGCGTCTTGGAGATCTTTTTTATTATTATTTTGTTGTTGTTGTTGTTTGTGAATGAAATTATCTGATGTTGCTCAGCAGACGGTATAGAAGATTACACTGCCCGGCTCATCTAAGAAATGATGTCCTGGGAAAAACGACGGGGCCGGGTGCTCAGTAAACTCTTCTTCTTCCTTCTGCGACCAAAGAACCCCACGGGACCCCCACCCGCCTCCGCCAGCGGCACCCCCGCCCCTGAGCTCCCGGCGCCCCTGAGCGCCGCCGCCGCCGCCCCGCCGCGCTCCCCCCGGGCGCCGCCGCCCCTCAGCCGGCGGCGGGGCGGGGAAGGCAAACTTTCCCCGAGGGATGCGAAGGGCCCCCCCGCCACCTGCGCCCCCCTTCGCCAGGCTGCCATTGGCCAAGCCGCCTACCGAAGCCCGCTAGGCACAAAAGGCGTTGCTAAGTGGATGCTTTTTTTTTTTTTTTTTCCTCTTTTGATTTTTTTCCCCCTCCTCCCCCCCCCCCCCTTTTTTTTTTTTGGCGTCTCCCCCCCCCCCCCCCCCCCCCCAACCTTCACTACTTCTTCTTCGGATGAGAGCGCGGTTTCACTCGCACCGCACCCGGCGCTCCGCCGCTCCCCGCTGCCGCTCCGCTCCGCCCCGCTCCGCTCCCCGCGGGAGGCTGCGCGGGTGCCGGTGCGGTGCGGCTCCGGTGCGGTGCCGGTGCGGAGCCGTCCCGCACCGGCCATGGCTTAGAGCGGCCGGCCGGGGCAGAAGAGATGAGTTTCTCCGCGGAGGACGGCGTGGGCAGCCTGTGCCACAAGGCGCTGCAGATCATCTCCGAGCTGTGCCTGGGCGGGCAGGTGGAGCGGGAGAAGTGCGCCGGCATCTTCCCCCTGGAGACCGCCCGCCAGGGCATCGGCGGCACAGGTACCGCGCCCGTCCCGCCGCCGCTCCCGTCCTGCCGCCGGCGTGGGCGGCCGGAGAGCGCAACTTTTTCCTTTGCCTTCCCTGCGTGCCGAGGGGGCGGATGGGGGGGGGGGGGATTAGGGGGGCAGGCTCGCAGCCCGCTTTAAAATCCTCTCCCTCCCGCAGCCGACGGCTGCGTTTGATGCTTGGGCAGCAGAGTCGGGCGTTCTTCAGTGCTGCGGGGGCTTTGCGCCCCGTCGTCCCTTTTTTCTCATCTCCCCAGCTGCCCTTCGGGGCGCTCCGTTACGCGCTGGCGGTCCCCGGGCTCCAGGCACCGAGCGGTGACCCGCGGCAGCGCGCTGCGGGACAGGGGTGCGCATCCCCTGTGTTAGCCGGGGGAGAGCTCTCTGCCTGCCGGCAGGAGACAGCAGGAGCAGCACAGCCCTCCGGGTCGCTCTGGTCCAGGACTCGTCCGGGAAAAAAATTTTTTTTGGGGGGTGGGATGAGGGAATTCGTGTAAATTTAAATATTCCGAAGCCAGAAGAAAAACATGTCAGGGTCGAAACCAGCTAGACTCCTAATGAGTTTGTCTTTGGTCATTGATTTCTGGACTGTCTGGATCTTCTGGAACTGGCTCTGCTCATTTGCATTTTTCTGTTCACTACACTCCAGAACCACTGTTTTGCCATGGTGCTGGTTTTGAGGACAGGGTTTGAAAATTAGTCCAAGTTCTTAATTTCTGCCAGAAGTGATCGCTAACCTATTCTGTAAGTTCATAAATGCAGCAGGACAGCTTGCATTATGGCCAACAAATAACAAGCGTACAGCGCAAATTAAATAAATTGACACCAAGTCATGAAAAGCAGCAGGTTCTGAGCATGTGCCCCAGCTGCGTTGTTGCTACCACGGCATCTGTTAGTTGTTTTTTTTTGTTTTGTTTTGTTTTTGTTTGTTTGTTTTGGTTTGGTTTGTTTTTTTTTTTGCTTTTTTTTTTTCTCCTTCTAATATCAAATTTACTGCAAATTCCGAGATATTTAGTATCTCAGCACAAAAACAAACAAACAAACAAACAAAACAACTGTTACTGCTACCGTCCTTAGAGAGGAGCAATTCTTTCAGACTTGGGTACCTGCACGGTTCTCCTGGGGCTTTGTGCTTGAGGCAAGTGCTCAGTTTGCAGCCTGTGAAGGCTGCAGGAGGGGCCCGGACCAACCCATCAGGGCTTGGACAGCCAGGGCAGCAGGGTGAGGGGGTGTAGCATGCTTCCACCAGCACGGATTGTGGATTTGCTGTGCTTTGTAAATACCATCTGACGAGTATATGTACACTCTTTGAGCCGTCTTGTCCAAATCGTAAAAGGTTGCATGAAAATAACCTCATGAAGCTTTGAAAACTGGGCTCTGAAAAGATTAGTTTCTCTATCTGATTTTTAGAGAGTGCTGCACAGGGAGTCAGTATTAGGTGTCATGTAAAAAACAAATGAATATAAACAGGTGGGTAGTGAAAGATACAGAAATGTCCCACAAGGTAAACCAAGTATTGCTGTCTAGCAAATTTGAATCTCCCAACACTTGCCTTCATGTTGTACTGTGTATTACAGAAGCTTCTTTTGAAGAATTGTCTACATTTTTGAACAAATATCTTCATTTCTTTAAAGTCAACAATATTCTTGGTGATTTACATACAAAAACACTAACAAAGTTGTAATTGTGAGATTAGAAAAAAATAATAATTGACAATTAACCAAGAAAGGGCTTGAATCACATGGTTCCACATCTCAACTGAGTTCCTAAATCTAACTTTTTCCTCCAAAAAGAAAAACATTAAGGGTGTCGATTTTATTGACACACACATTAAATTAAACATTGTCTCATCAATTACTAACAGTGCTAGTAATCATACTTTAATACTTTATGACTTCAGAGGAAGAACAGACACACAGTCATTGTTGATAATTGACAATATTTTAATATGTAAACACTTGGATAGACAAGATGTAAATATTACTCTCATGAATTTGCTGAGGTGAAAGATAGTAAATACAGTATCTAGGCTGAGAAAATGTGGTCATCGAAAGGTAAACCGTGCCATAGAGAGGTATTTATTCTGCTCTTCAAATGCATTTATATTTCCATCTCTATGTGTAAAGTTAATGTTGTCCACAATGTTGAACATCCACAGCTGCTGTTCATTAAAGGTAGAAACCTAAAGTGTTCTCCATCTTCATTTGGAGAATAAAGCCATAAATGTTTGTGTTTTCCTGAAACTTTGGTGTCTGGTACATGGGCTTACCAGTATTTGGTGTGAGAGTCTGTGGCAGTGGTGCTGTGGCTGAGTAAATTCTGCACAATTCTGGTGTCATGCAACTGTAGCTGTAGGGTGAAGAAGAGCAATGGCTTATTTAGCCCTATTGGTTTTGCTGTATTTTGCTCTAGCCTTCCCCAAATGATGATGTGGGAAGCCCTTTCCCAGTGTTTGCCCAAGCTAGATAACACGCATCATGGACCATTTCAGTTACTTGCTGTCTGGGGCTTTGTGCAGCCTGTCAGGCATTAACCCCTGCAGCAAGCACTGAAGCATGTGGTGAAGAATCTACTGTAGTAAGAGTAAGAAGATACTTGAGCTGTGAGAAGGAGTTCTGGAGGATGTGGAGATGATATAGAAGACTGAGAGGGTGATTAAAGAATGATGGTTTATTACTGTATGTTTTTATATTATAGAATCAGCTAAACTTTCAAATTCAAAAAGCAGAGTCAATGAGACAGCATAAAAAGAGGTGCAAAAATTAAAAGAAAAAAGAAAAAGTCTGTATATTGTCCTTTTGAACACTAAATTCATTTAGTTTTTCTCATCTCAAAAACAAGATACCTGAAAGTGTCACAAATGTAGTATAAGGAAGAATCAATAAAGAAATTTCATGAGAGGAAAGAAGGCTAAAAGATGAGGAGACCCATATTTGGACAGGAAAGAATAGTACAAGAAACATTTCAGAAAGAAAAAAAGTAGATGATAAAAAGGAAAAAAGACCTTTTCTATTTAATACATGAATACAAGCATGTTCTGGAAGTTGAAAATTTTAAAATAGGTAACTAATACTGCTATGATTTGGTTTTGTTGGTGCGTGTGATAATTGCTTTCTGTTCAACTGGCCTGTAAAAAGCAGCTGAGCTTCTCAGAGGAATCACCACCAATTCACAGGCTCAAAGTAAAACATGAGACAACATTGGCCCTGTGACCCAGGATGTTTCATTGGCAAGTGGAGAGGCTGGGTACTGTTTGTTGTTGTTGTTGTTTTGATAGTGTAGGTGTCTACATATGAGAAAGAAGACAAGGGTAACAGAATCAAACACACAAGAGGGAGCTAGAGACACAGAACAAGAAATGGAAGGTTTGGCTTTGGAAGGGCAGAATAAAAAGTAATAATAATAATAATAATAATAAATGAATCAACAAATCAGGAAAGAGAGCTACTGAGGTTTACTGCCAGCTAAGAAAAAAAATAAATAACCTCCATGTGTTTGGTTCCCCTTTTTCTTACAGAAATAAGAGTTTGGACATTCTTTGCGGACAAACAGGATTACATCAAAGAAATGGCTGATTCTTCAATACATTTTTTTTTTCTCAGTGACAGCAACAAAACCTTAGGACCCTCAAGCTCACTGCTTGGGTCAAGAAGGGGTAATCATATTTAGTGTAATGGATAATTAATCCATGGAACTCAGAGGAAAGAATCTTATTGAGAGAACACATTTTGTAAATTTCCAAGAGCTTTAGACAATTAGTGAAAATACAACATCTGCTGTTATATCTTCTGCCCTGGTAATTACAAGGACTATTAATTCTCTTATCTCAGGGGAATGCTCAAGAAAAAAAAAAAAAAAAAAAAAAAAAAAAAAAAAAGATTAGGAAGCTGTTTACCTGTTTACATTTATGGTACTTCTATATAGTCAGATGACTGTGAGATTTCTTCTGAAGAGAATAATGTTTTTCGTAAAATGCTGAATTAGATGTGCAACTGGTTTATTTATTTTTTACACCTCCTTTATGTCAAATAGATTTGGACAAAATTACTAAGATGTTTGTGAAAAAAAGAGAAGAGTTCAGGTAGAAAATATATGGGAGATAGACGTGTGCAGAACTGCACCTCATAAAATTCATCTTTAATGCAAATAAATTATCTTCTAGAAATGCCCAAAATTCATAGGTACAGCTTGGTTATACCTGTATTTACATTCAGGCTTGGTTATACCTGTATTTACATTCAGGCTATATGATCAATAAGGAACTCCAGGTTTTTGTTCCCTTCTTTTTCTTTCTTTCTTTCTTTCCTTCTTTCTTTCTTTCTTTCTTTCTTTCTTTCTTTCTTTCTTTCTTTCTGTCTGTCTGTCTGTCTGTCTGTCTGTCTTTTTTCTGTCTTTCTGTCTTTTTCTATTTTTCTGTCAGTTAAGCATCCCTCTTCATTTTAAGGAGCCAAGCATATCGAAGTCCCAGCTGGGAGCATTTCTGAAAACAGCTGCATAAAGTGTACCAAGAGGAAGTTAGGCTTCCTGCTCTAGGGACATGTTCAAAATTCACTGCTATCACATATCCTCTGCAAATGGTGGGCACTTACTGCTGTCTTTGCTTTGTTAGGCCTTCTGGTCCTGCAGAGTTTAAGAACCTCATTATCCATTCTCATGGGGAACCAATGTTTATAACAGAGCTGGGAACACAGTTCCTTCCCTGCCAGGAGGACATTTTAGTCATCTAGTGAGCTAGATGAGGGCTAGAGAGTTCTTGAGGGCGATGTTTGCTCTTGCTCTTTTGATTGTCAGATAATGATTTATTTTTATTTTTAAAGTTGACCATGCAACAAGCATCAGCTTCTACAGGATTGTTTTCTATTCACCTAAGTATTCCACTCACAATTATTTTACTACCATAGAACTTTAACCTGACGTTTCCAACCCCGCCTTTGATTGACAGTTTACTACAGAAGTACAGAAGGAGTAAGAAAACTCAAGAGCATCCTAAGCATGGCCATTCTGTAATATAGCCTCGTGCCTCCCTGAAGAGCAATGTCACTGGGGGGGTTCCTTCTGCTGCAGCCAGCATGAGTCTCCTGTTGGCTGTCAGCTCCTTTTCTGCCAGTTCCCATCCTGATGATTGCAGTTGGTGGTTTACATCAGTCCTGGATCCTTTAAACATACTTGTGTGTACATGCATGTGTGGGGGGATACACATGCAGAGTATAAGCTGCAGATACACTTGAACCACCTGGTTATGTTTAGGGGGATAGAGGAACAGATTTATCCAGTAGTATGCTTATAAGTGCTTCTCAACTGTGCCAAAAGCAAGCACAAAGGGGACTACAAATGTGAAGAGTACTGTGATCAGTGTGAGAGTATCATACAAGAAAGGAACATATTTCTTCATAAGAAAGTAATTGTTGTGTGAAACAATTGAGCATTCTGTTACAAATAAATGTGAGAAAAATAAATAATAAACTTTTGAACAGTTAAAGAGAGATCAAATTTTTTATGGTATAATGCATCACCTGGACAGAGTAAAATTATTACCAGAGAGAAATATGGTTTGGGAGAAAAAAGTGCAGGGTTACTGAAAACTGCTTTCTGAAATGGATGGTAACAAGCTGTGAAAAACAGAAATAGCTAATTCAGCAATGTAGTGGTAGAAAAGAGGTGTAAATGCACCACAGAAACAAGATTAATTTACAGTAATGTGAAGACAGTCACAACAATGCAGAAGTGCTCAACACACATACAGCAGTGATGCACAGTAAAGGCAAGCATTTATAAAGGAATCTTCCTCTGTACATATTTTGCAAAGAAAAAATACAGAAATGTTTACAACAGCAGGGGGACAAATCTGTAATAATGCCAATTTTGTGTGTTTTGCTAGGTTTTATCATGTGTTGTATGTTCATTATATAATGCTATGTATGAATAAACTTAACCATGCCAATTCAAAAATGACACTTAAACTATGTAAACCTGGCTGTAGCTACAACATGCTCATAACTGTCAGCCGTCCAAAGGGCCTGTGATGCGTTTTCATGTCCTTTTCTTTTCTGAGAGAGGATAATGAGGTATTCTTGCAGATGTTTAGATATGCTTGCAAATGTGAGAGCAGAATGGGACCAAGCTCAAAGCTGTGTTTTTTGTTTGTTTGTTTGTTTTGTTTTGTTTAATGGAAGGCAGAGGGGGGAAAGAGGCTGAGCAGAGATGGAAATTTATCTCCTTTTGAGATTAAGTGAGAACTAACAAGTATGAAAGTAGCTAAACAGGTAGGTCAGAGAAAGCCTTGGAAGTGGAGGCTTCCAGTTTACATTTGGTATGTTAGAGTGGAGAGGCCAATGTTCAGTCCAATGTCTTTTGCTTCCTACACTGCAGGCAAAACACAAGTATCCAGCCAGGCAAAGTAAAAGCCATCCTTTTTAATTATATACAGCATGCAAATCATGTACCAAGACTTATGGATTACATTGCTGCTGTGGCAAATTCCTTCTGATTTCTGGAAAGCAGAAGGTGATGTATAGAGATGGAAGAAAGCTAACAAGCGTCTGGGAAATACCCAAGATCTACTATACATCCTAAAGTATAAAGGCCTATATAGGGAGTTTGAAATGGTAAAAGAGGATGTTCCATTTGTGGTTGGACAGAAGTAGATTATCAGATGCATTAATAAACAATATAACAGATAAAATTATTTTGACAAGAGATTAATAATTTTATGTGCTCTAAAGATGTAGTAAAACACAGTCATACCTGACTTCATTCAGTTCCCTTGCTGCTAAGAAATATTCTACCCTAGAGTTCTGTTAGCACTAAGAAGTGATATATGAGCCAGGAGGTGGTGATGGCTATTTTGAACAAGTTCAGACATCAGACTGAATTAGCAGCATAGGAGGGAACACATTCACAACAGGGCAAGAGTCAAAAGATTTGGGGAAGTTATTCAAAGCGTGTTTCATTGTGAGACCAGTAGAGGATACTACATGTAGACTTTTAAGTGAAAGGTTATTTTTGTAGTTTGAAGTGTAAGTCAGGTGTTTTGACGGGTTCAGGTTAAAAGAAAATAAGAAAGATTGAACCTGCCACTTTCTGAGGTATGCTATATCCCTATCTGTGGTGATTTAGACAATACTGAGGTAACTGTGGAAGATCTGCTAATGCCAAGTAAAAATGAACACCTGCAACTTTGGATGTTCTTCAGAGTTCCCCAAAGAAAACTTAACAGCAAAAATGATGGGCTGGGACAACTAGTTCACACGAGTAAAGGAGGTTTATCAGACCCAGACCATTTATAATTAATAAAGCTTCCGCTTCTCTTCAAATTCTAGAAAATCAGAGACATATTAATTTATCTGAATGAGCCAACTGCTGATATTCCAGACTACAGAGTTCCATTCAGAGTAGTCCCTATGGAGATGGTAGAGTTGCTTATGGATGATTAACAAGAGAGAAAAAAATAGTTAAAGAAAATTGGTCTGAGAAAACCTTACGTGATGTTGAACTTTAAATGTTTAAGAGATCCAAGATCAGCTATAGACCAAGAAAGGGGTCAAAAGAGGATACAAGCCTTCTTTTTCCAGAACATCCTTTCCTGCTGTTGCTTTGTTGGGAAAGGTACATTCTCTGTAGCTTTGTCCATGTCAGATGTAATTCATCTCCTGCCTGCTGTGAACACTCACAGCACATTTCTAAAGCCAAAGCAAGGCTGTTGGGCTCTGCAACAGTCCTGAAGTATGAGTCCAATATACAGTCTTGTTCTGCAGGCATATCTCTTTTACCCCAGCTGGAGCAATGCACTTCGGCATATCTTCTGGCATGTGATGTGATGTGAGAGACAGCAAATACTGTGACTTGATACAAATGTAGGTGACTGCTCCCTCCTTGCGCTGCCTGCCAGTTATGCACGTGGGCAGCCGTGTAACCACATAAACTGGTCTCCTCTTCATATTCAATACCATGTGTTGGTGGAGTATCCTTTTTCTCAAGCTAAGCACTAAGGGCCTTATGTTTTCAGGGCACTGACTGAAATGGAAATGAACTTAATTTGGTCTGCACATGGAAGTCTGCCAGTGTGCATGTTTGAGAATGGATTCACATGCAGAACCTTCCTGAGGCAAATTTCAAACAAAAATTTGTTGCAAATGATAGTACAGAAACCATTGCTCAAAATATTCCTTGCATCCAGAAAGAAAAAAAATATATGTTTCTGCAGTACTTGCCTAATATCAAACACTGGCTGTCAAGGATCCTCTTATGCTGAATGTGTTTCCAAGGATATTTTTAAAAAATGCAGAGAGAAGATTGTGAGGTAAATATAATTCAGGCATTACCCAAGTAGGTGTGTCTTTCTCAAATGAGAAATATAAAATTGTCCAATATTGCACAGCTTCAGATAGTAGTTTTAAATAGAAAACCATGAAGAAACAGGACGCTTTCTTTCAGACATGACATTTTATCAAGACTATGAAGATGGCATTAAAGAGAGGTCGGTAAAGAAAAATGACCATGAGTGAAATGTTAATTCCAGTGAAATCAGTGAAAGATTTCCCACTGATCAGAAGACGGTGTGAGAGAACGGGAATTTTCCTCACATTGCTAAAATTATCCAGCATGTGAACAAGAATGGCAAAAACATAATTTTGTACACCCTGATGAGTATGCAGAAAGATGTCCTATTCTGTGTAAACTTGTAGTATTGAAGACAAGATGTAATTACAAAAAAGAATTGTCAAAAAACTGCTTGTGGTTGAAAATTATTTTTCTTTTACTTCATGCCGGAGACAAGTGAGAACGTTATTTACAACACTGACAGTTAGCATTGTCCCAGAAGATTGAGTGTTCTTCTGCCTCTAAAAACCTAGTCAGTCTTTGAAGTTGTCACCATCTTTATATAACGCTTACATAAGTAAAGCACAATCCCAGCCTAAAGACACAGACATCCTTTGGTACCCATTTTTCTTCCCAAGCAGATTTCCTTAATAGGGGTGTGAAGAAACTCCTCATCTGCAGGAGATGTTTTGGGGGCTTTTTTTTTTTTTTTTTTCAAACCAAGCTTCCTCTTAAGAGGTAATACATGAGATACATCCGGTGTAACATGTAAAGTGTCTAGGAAGCTCCATTTACTGCTGTTCTACAGATGATTCCAGTCTTCACATAACAGCAAATCTTTCACAGTAGTTACTCAACCAAGGGACTGTCAGAAATGAGGAAATGAAACATGATATTCACATTAATGTATATGGTATAGTGGTTGCTTTTTAGCAATTATGGCTGTAAATGAAATAAATATATTTTTATCCTAATGAACTATTTTTTGGTCCAATTTCTGACAATTACTGTATTTCATGATTTTGTTTAAGAATTTGTTGTACTATCAAGTGCAATATGTGAAACTCTTTAACTTATTATTAAATAGCAAATATGGAGACTGTAGTTTGTACAACTATCTCTAGAAATAGCTCCTACATATTTTCGCTGCTCTTAAGACTTCAGATGTTTCATGTGATTATTTCAGTGTATGAAACTTACAATGTCTGTAAAGATTTTGGTACTAAGTTAGAGAGAATTTAAAATAGTATAATAGAAATATAAAAAAAATATATACATAAAGAAAGTCGAAGAACTAGAATAGGTGTTGAAAAGAGACACCAAGTTATTTGAAGGCTTGAAAAGTGTCTTGCAGTTAAAAACTTAAAATAAGATTGGCTAGAAATGCTTTGATAGAATGTTTTTCAGCTGATAGTGTCTGCTCATCAAATTGTAACCGCTGGAAGGCATCAATGATCATATTTCTGATTTTGAAATAATTTCAGCTATTTCAAAGTACTTACACATCCTGTTTCAACATTTTCTAAATGAAAAATTATAATTTTCAGTTCTAAAAGCCTTCATTTCCAAACATAACCTAGTTATGCCAACCACATCTAAACTGAGCTGGAAATACTGCAAATGACCCCAAATTGAATTTCTTTTTGGTTTTCTTTTTTCTTGCTTTCTGAAAAATCATTAACCTTTTGCTAGAGTTTTACATTTGGTCAAGGTTTGAGAATGGAGAATTAACCAAAAAGAGTTCTTTCAATGGGGCATACCTCTGTATTCACTTCTTAAATTTACTTATGACCATTCCCTGGCACTGAGGCCAATTCACATGTCACAGCCTCTGTCCATACACTTAAAGTCTGTCTTCTACTAACATATAAGGACCACATCCAAAGTGCATATAAAGAATGATTGTTGGTCTTCTGTAATTCCTGATTCATGCTCAGGAATTGTCTGGGACATTATGAAGTACCCCAGGTTAAAGCCATTCAAGGGACTGGTGTAGGTGATTGACTTTCAGGCCTTGTGGGTGTTTTTTTTCCAGCACATTTTGCTTAGGCATGTCTTATGAAGCAAATCATAGCTTTTCACCTCTCATATGAAGACATGAAAGAAGAAATGACTGTAAATTAGAACTACAGAAGTACAAATCAGAAATACAAATTTGCAACAAAGTGATTAATCATTAAACAAGCCGTAAACTCAGCATCTCCTAATGCCTTCTCTTGCTGTCAAGATCAGACACTGCTGTGGCATGTGCACAAGCCAAATAAAAGTTATCAGGCTCAGAAAAGATCTCAGTGTAAACAGTAGATCAAACCAAATAGCCTAATAACCCCTATCAGTCATTAATTCTCTAGAAAAATCATATGCAAAAATATTGTTTGCTTCTTGTGTTACATTGCTATTAGGTATAATTATGCAACCATTCATTTTATGGACATCTTAAATCAGAATTTAGCATATGAATTTCTCCTTAAGCTGACATGGATATTCCAAGGGCTACATTTTGACATTTAACTACAGGCAGAAAAGGATGACACCTTTCCTAGGACTGTCAGAAAATGTTCACAGAGGCATATTTCTCTTCAAGGCAGGACAGCAGTTAGTGCCAAATGCTTTAAATGCAGAAGCACATCCCCTTCTGATTCCTCCATGAAGCTGGCCATGATGTATATGAAATAAGGTTAAGTAGAAACATGTCTTTCAAATATCCAAACTACAAACATCTTCTGTTTATGTTGACTGTTCTCACCTAGTTTCGTGCTGAATGGGCCTTAAGCTCAGTATTATTTAGTGGGTGATATTGGTGATTAGGGGGACAGTTGGACCAGATGACCTTGGAGGACTTTTCATACCTTAATGATTCTATGATTTGTTACTGATAGACATATTTGGAAATGAAAGAAAAATTTCCTAAATGAACTTGTTGAAACTCAATATCCCCAAAGTATTTGTGAGATACATACTGTTTCATAGATTCAATACACACCTAGAAGACTATTTTTCTTCCTGTGAGCCTTTATTAAAAAATACGCTCAAACTCTGGTTGCACTTTTCCATGAGTTCAGTTTAGTAGTCTGTAGCCTGGAGCTATGGATACAAAATATTAGTTGTTAAATTGTCAAATCTTGTTGTAACAAGCAGCAGCAGCCGTTACTTGAGGGGCATTTAGGCAGGGCTTATTGAATATTTTTAAAGCATACAAAAGCCTCCTTTCAAAAGGAAGGGGATTTTTTAAGTCCAATTTTATAAGATTACATGATACTGGAAAAATCAAACTGAAACATGTCACATAGAATAAAAATCCTAATTAAGGCCCAATTGGCATTTCTGGTGATCCACCATTTCCTAAAATGCACGTCTGTTCCCAGAATTTAGTTGGTATGAAATCTGTTCTCCTTACTTTGACAGAGCTATTGGATATGTTAATCCACTGTGGCAGAAAAAGTCAAATGCTTGGCAGCAGAGATAGCAAGTGTACAGTAAGATCTCCATACAACCCAGGGCATTGTATAGTGTACTCTGAAGCCAGCTTCATTTTCATAGCATAATTTTAGATACCAAGATATATGTGTTGTCGTGGTCTATCAGTGCTTAAGATTTAACCCCTGCCACTTATTGGTTGTGACAGACTATATCTTGCTCCTGCTTATCCAGGTAAATGTTAGGTTTAAACATGTTTATGAAGCAGTTAGCACATGAAGTCACAAGTTTGACAAGTCCTGAAGAAATTTCTTTATCAGCCTCAGTGTTTTGAATTAACCTATCTTCATGTACACTTATAGAAAATGTTGACTGTTTATTTTTTTCAGCAAGAAGTGTTCATGAGCAAACACCTTTTGATGACCATGGCTGGGTGTATTCAGGACCACTTGTGTAGTCCCTTATTTCCTGAGAAGCCTGACTAGCAGTGTGTGGCTACTGGTACTGTTACTGGCACCTAGTCTGTGCAACAGTGACTGGAGAATTTGGAAAAGAAATATATAGTAGAGAATGATAACGTTTCAAAGGCGTTTTAGATATATTAAAAACAAAACAAAACAAAAAACTAACAAATACATAAATAAATAAAACTTTAAAGGTTTTGGTAGGATAGTGATTAAAATGCTTCTATCTCCTTACCTGTTTCTTTCTTACTTTTTTTTTTTTCTCCATGTTTGTCTGTTATGATGATCTCTGTTTCTAATTCCTTGCAGACATCTCAGTCAGTCTGTTAGCAGTAGTCGTCAGCTTCTGCGGGCTCGCTTTGCTGGTAGTCTCACTTTTTGTCTTTTGGAAGTTGTGTTGGCCCTGCTGGAGAAGCAAACCTCTCACTTCCAATGCCAGTAATGTCCCTCAGAGCAACTCAAGTGCTCCCACAGAGGTTTTTGAGACCAGCGAGAAAAAGGAAGTTAAAGAAAATGGGAAACCTACAACAAAGGTACTTGAAGCTGCACTGAAAATTAGCCACACTTCACCTGATATACCAGCAGAGGTCCAGAATGCGCTGAAAGAACATCTGATCAGACATGCACGCATGCAGAGGCAGATCACAGAGCCCACATCATCATCAAGGTAAGGGACACTTACGTCTGTGGCACGTTTCCTGGAAAAAGGTACAACCAGAACATGCTGCTGAAAACTTCTAATATCATAGGATGTTTGCTGTGTTTTTACCAGTTATGGGTGAAATGGCAGTCACGTGAATTTAAACAGAATATTCCAAAACAGGTGGTGCTACCTCACTGCCTTAACATATGAAGATCAAATCTCTGTCTTCTACTGTTTTGTAAATACATATGTTACTGCTACTTTAAGCTTTTCCTTTTTAGGTTTTGTGTATAGGAAAATCAATCTGAGTGTGATTTTTGCAAGTACTGCAAGTCTGTCATTTCACAGAGATATTTTTGTAGAGGAGTTGCTTTTGCAGTTGAAAGTTTTCTTCTTCATTAAATAAATGGCAGGTTTGTTGTTGATGGCACATTTCTTCAAGACACGGTTTGCCACTTATAAAGGAATTAAAGTCCCAGTCTAAGAACACAGACCCTTACAGACTGACCTCAAAGCAGTACAGATTATATATAGATTTTTAAATAAAAGTCAAGCATATAATATTGTTGCAGTGATTTCTTTTGTATTAAAGTGAAGGACACAAACTTTAATTTTGTCACAGATCCTGAGTTATCTTGTAAAGTAGTGAAGAAGATATGTGCAGTGACCTGTAGTATCAAACAGGGTTTTCTTCAAATACTGTCAGCAATTTAATGCATGGGAAATAGACAGTGAACTACAAAGATCATTTCCTACATAACAAAATAAATACACAAATAATTTTTTAAAAGAAATGTTTCATAAACACAAAATGGGAAACTGAAGGTTAAAAGAGACATCTGAAGTATTGCATAATGCTATAAGTAAGAGTACAAATGCTACATAAGAAGTGGCTTTCACTCAATGGACTATTTGCTAAATCAACACAAGCTACAAAAGCAAAACAAAACAACAACAAAAAAAAATATCCCTCACATAATAATCATAATAATCATTGGAGACACAAGACTAGAGAAGACATACTTTACGTTTAGTGGGCACATATTTTGCTGGCTTTCTGAGAGTCCCTAAGACAGTGTTTTGCTTGCTCAGTGCATTCATTGAGCTGGTGAGTAGAGAAAGGCATTTTTTCCAGCTATTCCAACAACGAGGAACAGCCAAAAAGCAACCACTGAAGGCTCCCAAAAATTAGAATATTCTATCCAAAGGAGGTCTAACTGACTCTAGCAGCTGAACTGTGATGAATGATGCGACTATACAGCTGGCTTGAGGCCACATTGCCTTAGTTGTGCCTGAGTCCAACTACTGTATCCATCTGCTAAGAGGGGGAGCACAGTATCCAAGTCTTTCCGAGGAACAGTTCCAAAATACTGGAAAAACAGCTCTGACATGGTAACTGCTATAGGAAACACAGAGGGACCAAAACTGATACAGCTTAGCATGATAAAGATATTATGTAACTGGCTGCTATCTAATTGGATATTAATTGGAAGAGTTTTATCCATCATGTACCAACAGGTAAATCTGTAGGTGATTGGGCTCTCCAACTACATGAACAGACAGAAGAAATAGCTAGCTGGCAAATAGATTTGAAAACTCTCGGTGGTAATATAGGGGAAAAAAGAAGTTCCAGGGACACGATACAGAGCTACTTCAGGCTATGAAAATATTCCCACAGGCCTCCAGAGTGATTTGGACTGGGATCTAAATACATAAAATATCCCTGAGGCCAAGGACAGTTTTACAAAATTAAAACCTGTCATCAATCATACTCTTTCTGCATGATGTAAGGAAGCTTTTTCTTTTTACCCTGTCTAGATTATCAGTTTTAAATCTTTCCCACTTTAGCCAATTAGCAGTAGGGTATTTGGAAACACTTTCTTCAGCTTCCTTTACATTTTGCTCAGAAAAAAAAAAAAAAAAAAAAAAAAAGGCAAAACAAAAATGAACAAACAACAACAAAATACCTTGTTATGAAGTGTTTAGAATGAGATGTATCTTCAAAAGTACCTATAAATCATCCTTTCTCTATTTGCAAATGCATTTTTTCTATAACCCTGAGTGCTTGGTGAGTCTAAACCTTCCCACAGCCCATATTAATTATTACTGCCAAGAATGTCATATATAAGATGAAGGCAGGATATTTAGACCAGTTTTCTGGATTACTTCTCTTTCATGTGACAGAATGTTGGATCACATAATGATTAAAAACTGGCTCTGGTGTCTGATGTCTGTGAGACATGTTATTGCACGGAAATGATAAATTTCTGCTTAATTAGAATGACACCATTTGCATAGTTCCTAATAGTAAGAAAAGACCTGCTAGTTTAAAAGGAAGAAAAAAAGAAAAAAAAAAAAAAAAAAAAAAGTCCTTCAGTCCTTGATCCCAATTAGCTAGTAAACTACAATAGAAGAATTCCTGCATCAGTGGTGTTTCTTAACATACATTTTTGCTGTGTGTTAGAGAAAGACACTTTTCCCAGAACTTTGTGAAGTTATTCTGTAATATAGTGTATTGCTTCTGTGATATTTCATCCTTCAAATATTCACCTTGACTTTCAGAGTGCTTTGAGCTCCTTGGTGTTAGGTGGGAGAGAAACTTGCCACTCAGCTCTACAAGAGTAAGTCTGCTCCCAAGAGGTATAAATGCAAAAGTGAGGTGCTTGGAAATGTTAAGTTTAAAGAATAACAATCAGGTCTCTTGAATTTGATCACTTCAAGGAGGAAACAGCAGCCTCAGTTCTTTCTAAATACAATTTAATGCTGGTGTCCATTCCTGGATTTGTTCCAAAACATCACTCTAATGTCATGTAGTAAAGCTAGACCAGAGCCACACGTCATAAATCTCAAGTCATTTCATAAATCCGCATCCTATTCTACTTTTTAGTCTTACATATGTCAATCTTATTGAGTAAGAAAACAGCTTCATACTATCATTATTCCTGTATAAGCACATTTCATATTAGAGATTTATGTGCAGACTTACTGTCACTCAAAATGTGTTTGCTCTAAGTTATAGAACACATGTCTATTGTAGGAGTGCTATGTAAAAGCCAGTAGTGGCTCAAAGTACCTGGATTTGCACACATTAGTAGCTTCACAGCATCTTCACAACCTGGTTGCCTGACATCCTTGTACTTCATTATAACAGTCATTAAGTCCTTTGTTATTGCAGAACAAAGGAAGACAAATATGTTGCCATGACAACAATGAAACTTCTTAATAATTAACAGACCGATTAGCCATCTTGGTGAAATGCTGTGACTCAGAACAGATACTAGGCACTATGTAATTAGGGCATTGGCTTACTAGAGCAAAAGCACTGCTGGTTCCCATGGGGCATAGCCATACAGCTGCACTGTTCTACTTAGCAACACCTCACAACAATGACTGTCTTCGCTAGAGGATCTTTTGTATGCAATGTTCAACAATTTGAAAGGAGGTTGGCACCTTAGAAATCATAGATTCATGTTTTTGTAAGTTACATGTACAAGTATTAACTCAGATATTCATAAATACAACAAATTATAGGAGAAAAAAAAAAAAAAAAAAAAAAGAGTTTGTCTTGTATCCAATTTCATTCACACTGGAAATGGCATGCAGGCATTTTCACTGTTTCCCTGCATAGGCAGAAAGTCAGAGATACTAGAGTGCTAGCACGTAAATCACTGCATGCCCAAATTTTTATTGCCACTCCATTCTGGGTGGAGTTCAGTTCCTCCCTTGTGTTTGGCACACCTATGAGATGGGACTTTCCAGTGGGCAAAGGCTCAAGGGCAGCCCTGAAACTCCCTGAGGATATGGTTATGTTTTCTGACTAGTTAGGGCCTTCTCAGTCCTCACTCCAGTCCAGCATGGACATCATATGCTATGAATTTGGGCAGCTTAAACATTTAAGAAACATTTAAGAAAGGTAAAATGTATTATGAGAGGGGTATAACATTCATCCAAATTTGAGATCAAAACACCTGGGTTTTTTGGAGCTACATCAAACCTGGCCTATTCTCCCTCCCCTATTCTTTTGTGACAGTCGGATTGTTCCCTACACCTAGCAGTACTGAAACAGCCAAAATGGGAAACATTCTTGTCTATTATTTAATGACTGCAGATTACCCTCTTGTATCTCTGCCCAGCTAAATTGCAGTAGTTTTGTGCTATATGCCTTCTGCAACCACTTCACTTACAGCAAAAATACAAATAATATCTATAAAATGAGTCCTGGTTGCTTTCAAATGGACAATTTGCATTTCTGATTTAAAGAAAGAAACACACAGCTGTGACACCTCTTGTTTTCAGAACACAACACCACAGGGAAACCAGGCAATAAGGCAAGGCTGCATTTGGCATTAATAAGCAATTGATTGCAAAAAGCAGAGGAAATTCTGACAATTAAATTGCTTTTTAATGGCAACTAAGTACGCTCACAGGAGGAGGTAGTGAGTATTTCCAGTACAGATTGTAAGGGTAGTGAAGTACCAAGGAAATATGAAAATGTCCAAAAAATAAACTGGACAATATGGTCATAATGGAATCTGCTAATGATTAATTCTATGAAATGTTTTGGTCAATATTTTATACTACTTTAAAACTGCATGGCAAAACAGAGGTTTGATTTCAGTCTTAGAAAAGGTAAAAATTTCTGTTGATGTTCGTGAGTCAGGATAAGTCCATAAATATGTACATATATGCTACACAATATTCAGAATTACAATGATTTAAACATAATGTTTCTTGGTACGAGTATATGAATCAGTTTTCTAATATAATACATAGAAGAGTATGAAAACATAAGGAAAATAAAAACTATCACAGGAAAATGTTACCCAAAACTTTGAAATGTATTGCAGCCAGAACAAAATGTTCACAATGTTATTGGAGAAGGCAACCTGTACCTCTGTACTGAATACCCAATGGATATACTTAAAATGTTGTATGATGGCAAAGCACTATGTTGAAAACCTCCAAACGAAGCTTTGCATGGCCTTTTCAGGCCTTTCACAGCAATCAATGTTAAGCATGGTAAACATTCAATTGAAAAACAGCCAATGAATGCCTCCAAACAACAGGAAGGAAGTCTGTTGTCTGTAGGTGATTTTTTTTTTTTCTTCCTGGCTACATTTTGTCCATGCAATAGCACAGTGGGATCAAGTAATGCTGGAACTGTGAAGTTGTTCTATGAAAGAACCTGAATGCAGTTTCAGCTGCATAGCTTGAAAATAAGGTGATAAATATACGTATTGCCAGGACACTGGGTGTCTCTTGGGTCAAGAAGTTAATTCTGAATGATCATTTCCTCTCAAAGATGTTTTAACAATTGTAAAACATTTGGGGGATTGTTTTAAAATTATTTTAAAGATACAAACCCTTATTAATTTAGTCTTCTTGATGTATTTTCTGTTTAGTAATAGCCAGGTCTTTTTCTGGAGATAACTATGGCTCATTTTGTGTGTGTGTGTGCAGGCACAATTCTTTCAGGAGGCACTTGCCAAGACAGATGCAAGTGTCCAGTGTTGATTTTAACATGGGGACAGATCCAATTTTACAAAGGGGAGAGACAACAACCAGCATTGGGAGAATAAAACCAGAACTCTACAAACAGAAGTCTGTGGATTCTGATGGGCAACAAGAAGATGTGAAAACATGTGGAAAACTTAATTTCACTCTCCGGTATGATTACGAGAATGAACTTCTGGCTGTCACAATTATCAAAGCCTTAGATCTGCCTGCTAAAGACTTCACAGGAACATCCGACCCCTACGTTAAGATATATCTGCTTCCAGATAGGAAAAAGAAGTTTCAGACACGAGTTCACAGAAAGACATTAAATCCTGTCTTTGATGAAACCTTTCAGTTTCCTGTAGCCTATGATCAACTCAGCAACAGGAAATTGCATTTCAGTGTTTATGATTTTGACAGATTTTCTAGACATGACATGATTGGGGAAGTAATTCTTGATAACCTTTTTGAAGTCTCAGATCTCTCCAGGGAAGCCAATGTATGGAAAGACATCCACTGTGCCACCACAGTAAGTAATGTGTTACCATTACCAAAACCATTAATGTGATATTTTCATTTTTTCTTTTGTAGTTCATGGCAGAGCATCCTGTTTATCATCAGCAGATTCTGGAAAAAAAAAAAAAAAAAAAAAAAAAAAAAAAAAAAAAAAGTCAATATTTTCCTTTAAGCACAGAGAATAAGATGCTTAGGAAGCTAGAAAATTTAATTACTAAAAAAATCTTCTGAGAACATACCATCATCCTCATGGCTCACTGTACAAATGTGCATTAGGTTTATTAATTGAATAGTACATCACAGAAAGTCACTGCTTAACAAGAGCTATTAACATTTTCCTGGCAGGAAAATACCCTGTCCTTCAACGTAACCATCTATTAAAGAGTAGAGCCTGTTCTGCACTTGTTAGCACATTTTCATGGGGTTGGGATCCTGTGAGAGACATGAGAGGCTCAAAATACTTGAAGCTTAAGATGCTCTTTGCAGGCTGCCCTTTGCCTAGGGTCCCCTAGTAGATGTATCTGTGTTGCTGCTGGTTGCTAGCAAAACTCAAGAGACACAGGGAAGGAAAGTTAGGAAAGAGAAATTGTTATTTTGCTGTTGTTGTGAGCAAGAAAAGGAGGTCTGTGCAATTCACTCATAGAACAGATGACAAGCTACCATCAGGAAAAACACCAGTGTCCAACCATTATCTTTGTTAACACAGAAATCCAAACTCATCTTCCCTAGCTAGAATTTGAGAAGAAGGGAGAAACAAGTGTTTTTTGTTTGTTTTCTTTGTTTTCATTGTTTGTTTTGTTTTTTAAACTATGTTATTTATGTAGAAAAATTTCCCATCCATTTTTCTGTAGAGATAACCAAAACAGTTTGTCATGCATGTCCTTAAGCATGAGCTGGACTGCCATCTATAGGGTAGCAGGGATGAACAGAGGACAGAGAAGTACTAGACACTGCTTCAATGACAGAAGCTTCACACCACTCTTTTGATAGAGCCAGAGGCTTCCTATGCTTCTTTTCCCAAATATTTTCATGCTGTGCATACCTGCTGGACAGGGAAATTTAGGTCTGCATGACCAGGAAGACAAAGAGGACTTGGATTTGCTCACCAGTATTAGTATGAGCAATATGTTTCCTGAGAGAGAAGTACAAGAGAGTTATGGTCTCATAATGAGGGCAGTTTTCAGAATTTTGTGAATTCTGGAAAATATTTATTTTAACTGTGGGGTTTACCAAACTGGCCTGAACAACCTCTGGTACATGTCCAGAAAACCACAACTATGTACACTTTATTTGATGAAGCTCAGATATAAGGTAAAATTAAGAACTATGTTCCCAACCTTTAAAACTAAATCTGTGTTTAGGGTCTTGGATTACTTGGATTAATGGAATAATACCCTAGTAACATTATATATATATATATATATGTATATATATATATACACATGTGTGTGTGTGTATATATATATATATATATAGGCATATGTATGAGATCTTTAGCTGACAACTAGAACAATTTCAGTAAGTTAGAATACCTGGATTGTTCATCACTGGTTTTAAGCAAATTGAAATACCATACCAGATGATGCTGTGGGGAGGGATGCTGATAAACATCTGTATGAAAAGGCTTGCTAATCTTGGCACTGAATTCTAAACTAAGTTTCTTCATCACTAAGGATTGTAACATGCAGCTATAGTGCTTAGTTCATTCTGTGTTGTTTTTTTTTAGTGTGCATGAAATTTAGGAGAAAGCATTTAGTTTTTGGATTTCAGCCTTTTGGGCTGAATAAGTTGTCCTCACCTAAACCATTAACAATAAACACACACAAAAATAGGAAATATATTCTAGTATTCAATGACTATTTACTTTCACAAGCCTTACCTTATTCTCAGCTAACTGTGTAAGAAACTGATTTGTTTGATTTTCCCTGTGAAAATGAAACCCTCCTATAAGGTGTCCTGTTATTATATGTGCAATGTGTTGCCTTGTGTTTTACTTCAGTTGGTTCATGTCGATTAAACTTTGCTCACTAATAATTTCAACACTTCAGAAACTGTAAAATGAGGGAGCCAATCCTGCACAGCAATAAACAGTGCATAAGATGTTAATCAGTAGGGAATTATAGAGTTACATACCAGATCTAAAGTTTACCAGTGTCACTCACTAGCAGTTAAATAGGTAGCACTTGCCAGAGTCAGTAGAACTTGGGTCAAGCTTTGAAAAATATGACTCAGATAGTTTTGCAATTAGTGAGAAATAACTGTACTCCAGGAACACATGCTTTGGTGTTCGTAAAGAACATATAACAAATAAATAAATAAATGAAGTGGTTGTCTTAGCAGGAAGGTCCATACTTACACTGTATAGCATAGGAACCAAGATGCCAATATGCAAATACATTTCTCTCACTCTTTTTCCTTCATCACCTCTGCTCTGTTTTCCTGTATGTTGTATGAAGTTTCCAGCCTTACTGTTCAGACATGCTTTCCATACCTAATGGTTTACTCATACAGTTGCTAAATGATAAGTGGTAGAAAACAGGAAAAAGTAAGAGCTCAAAGAGCTCAAAACTTAAAAGAGCGCAAAACTTAAAATACAACACAGAAGTGGCCTCTCCTCAGCTTTGAGTCTTTTATGTCTATTACATAGTCAAGGATTTTCTGTTGAGAAGTTAGAAACTGGTTAAATCCCGTTACTATTACCTACTTGGAAAGAATCTGATTTTATGACACAAGGCTCTACAGTCTAGGAGTTGAAGAGATTTACAGATTTACCAAGGAAATGAACTGTAAAATTTTGCCAGTAAAAGACATTACCACAGCAGATCAGATTCTCCATTATGCAAAGACTGTCACTAGTTAAGAGCATTTTTAAAGGTTTTGCTTGCAAGGATTTTTTTATTTGGTACAGGAAATACAAAACCTAGGGAAGATCAGACTGGATGGTTGCATTGAGTTTTTTTGGCACTAAAACCTATGAATCTGTGGGAAACCACAGTTTGAATCTTTTTTTTTTTTCTTTTTTTTTTTTCTTTTTTCATTTGAAATGATTTTACAAGTGCAGGATTGGTCCCTCACATACTCATTTTTACACTTATAGTTTACAATTGTTGATGTTTATTCATCTTTTGTAGTTTGTATTTTCTTCATTTAATTTTTCATTCATATCATTGTTTCTCTGTTACACATTTTGTTGGAAACCTGTAGCTGTTGTATAATATGTAGCATGTACCTGTTATAAGTGCTAACGCATTTTCATTTTTAATGTTAATTTACCAAGATAAATTTGGTGTAAAATTGATTGTGAAAAAATAAGTATCCCAAATATCTGATGATATTAACATCCCCAATTTTTGCTTCTAACTGGGTGGTTGAACTTTCAATAAATAATCCATCATTTACTTTTGTTTGTTTGATTGATTAATAAAAAGACAAACCAGGGGCAGCCTTGGACTACCTGCAGAGGTTGTTTAGTATTTTTAGTATATTGGAATACTGCAGTTCTTAAAACACTGTAGGAGATTAGTTCATAACATCAAAAGCAAACAATATTACATGAACTATTTAGTCAAAATAATCTGTCGTGTTTTTGCAAAGTGCTTGTGAGCTTCATGTATATTTCTGAGGTTTGTTACTATCAATACTTACTGCATACTTAAAAAACAAAACAACCAAAAAAAAAACAAAAAAGCACAACATTAATTTGAATTGATAACAATCATTTAAGTGCAAATATTCACTCAGAAATCACTCAGACAAAAATTCCCCCTCTTGCTATGATCTAACACTTTCTGGATTTAAAAGTGTATTAACTTCTGATTATTCTTTTAATCTTGATAGATTGCTTTGGAAATCCCTGCCTCTAACATCATTGACCAAAATATTCGTGGAAAGTAAAGGTATTCTGTGAACTCCGTTAGTGTAACCAATTATATGACACTGCAATTGGATTAAAAAATGAATAGAACTCAACATTTAGATGAAAGCCACTTCCAGGATAATGGTCATCTCCTGGGGATGTTAGTCATGGAGATGTCACATATTTGTAGCCTCTTGAATTATCTCATGTAGATGGATGGAACTTGATTACTACTTCATTTCTAGCACCAAACATTACAGTGCTTCATTTTTCCCATTTGTGAAGTGGGATGTTAGTAAAAGGTTATGTAAGGATACAGACTTCATATAATGCACATGAAGAGTGACTGCTACTTCTAAAGCACTTGGAATATAAATGAATAACATTGCTGGAAAAGACAGAAATGTTTAGGTAACTTAAAAACAAACAAACAAACAAAAATAGACAGTAACATTTGTCTCAGTAGATCTATCTCAAACACTCGCCAGTGTAGGACGTCACACAGGTAATCCTATTTGACATTGACTTCTGTTATGAAGAGAGATTGAGAGATTCTTCTGATTCAAACAAAATCAAACAAAAATTAAGCCTACCTCTGCAGTCCATCTAGAGCAATTGCAGCCATTGTCTTTGACTAGTTTTCCTCATAGTTCCTCATCAAAATGGGTTTACACTATTGTTTCTGGAAACGTCCATAAAAGCCATGAAACAATGTTAAACGTGAAAAAGTAAAGGCCCCCTAATATTAGAGATATTAGGCTTTATCATCTCTATAATGGGAACAGCCCCCTAATAACCAAGAATAGCTGGCACTTGTCATTTCCAATCAGTGATGATGATATAAAGGTGATCCATGTGATCACCTGCTGCTGAGTACATGAGAAAATATTCTGGGGCAGTCTTTACAAGAAAAGTGTTTAGGTTTTTCATTTAGGTTTGGGACTGCCTTAGGTCTGGGTGATAACAAGAAAAGACAATAGAGAAAGGGCAAGTTTCTTTCTAGTTACTGAAAGCAGGGAAGGCTTTGATTATTATTGAATGATTGAATTATTGAACAAATTGAGTTAAATGAATTATTGAATTATTATTAGTTTGAAACAGCAAATTATTTGAATATTCTGTTTTGCTGGAGGCAAACTGCTACTTTCAGTCTACCTTAAAAGTAGGAAATATCAGATGAATGAAAAATATGATTTCCTCAAGGAAAATTAATATTTCTGTGTCTAGGTGGTACATGGTAGCTATGCTAAAGTGTTCAGCTTGATGTTCTGCTGATGATCTGCTTAGGGCATAGACTGCTATGCCCTAAGCACTCTATGAGTTTCTCACTGCAAATATTCTCTTTGTAATCAATGCATTGCTGCTTCAGAAGTGCATCTCTGTATTTGAAGCCACTTAGATGCCAATAGATGCCACGGATAGGTTACATAAGCATCTCTGTCCCCAGCTGTTCTGAAGCAGGAATGGGCTTCCTTGGTGTCTGGCAAAATGAAACTACCCCCATACCACACAAGGCAGATGGCTATGTACAAAGGGGATGACAAAAGAAGCACACAGGAGGTTTCCTGGTCTTCTGTTGAGAGTATTCAGCCTGCTGGACCCAGCCTGCTGTCTCAGGGAGTCCTCTCTGCAATCAGGACCACAATCAGCAGCTGCACTTACCTAGAGCAATCAGGATGTCAGGCTAAAACAAGATTTAGGCCTCCAGAAGCAGTAGACACAGTCATTATGAAGCAACAGGCCCCAGTGTCTCCAGACCATCTTCCACAGGGGCAAGAAGAAACACAAATCTGATTGATTTATTTCCCAGAACAGCTCAATCAATAAGAGGTGTTGGGAAGAAGAGTTGAATTTGATATGCAAAGACTAACAGGAGAGGGAGATAAATATTAGCTGTGGGGACAAGATTTCCAAAGTGAAATCCCCTTGAGAGATAGGAGAATTCCCTGTGTTATTGAGCTTCAGGTAGGTAACTTTTGACAACATCTGTGATAATATAAATACCATCAAAGTCAAAATGCACAGATGAGAAAACAGATTGTTAGAGCTCTGTAGTCTTCTTTTCTATCATTCTTCTAATTCTTGATCTACACCTCAAAAGCAGAAATGTCTTAATACATTAAGCTTTGCTGATTCTCTGAGGGGACAAGCTTCTCTTTTCTCTTTTTTTTTTTTTTTTTTTTTTTTTTTTTTTTAATTCAACCCCTAACATTTAGCTTTATCTTTTATTTCATCCCTGATTCTTGACCATTGAGGTCATGCAAAGATAGCTTTTGTTGGAAAAAATAAATTTCATTTTGGGAAATTATCTTTCTGCAGTATTCAAAAAATCCAAGTTGTTTGGTTTTTTTGTTTGTTTGTTTTTTCTTAATTGCATACTAAACAGAACGACAGTCCTCACTGTGATTGAACAGCTAAGAGTCTAGAAATACAAATGCCTAAATGACTTATTTTACATCTAGTAAATGATTGTTAGTACAATTGCTCATTCAACATACAGTAAGAAAATTAAAAGAGAAAATGTGTAAATCATTTATTTAGGAATTAATTGCAAAATAAATTCATGTCACTGTAAGGATTTTCACTATTTTACTTTCTCATGTAATCATTAAGACATCATTTAAGCTACAATTATTAGGAAAGTAGTTCTAGATAATAAAATTGAGATTAAGAATTAATTTATTAACTTGGATTATGATAATTGGAATGAAAATGAAACTACCCAGAATGGTTTTTAGGAAATTAGATTTCTAGTGCAGTATTAATTATGCAAATAATTCATATTTTAACAACATAAATTAATGACACTCTAGTACCAATAAAAGTATGAAATATTTTGAGTTCCAGTAACATTTACATAGATCACTGAGTTGTTTTAAGATTTTATTTAAATTGCAAGATTTGAAAAAGGGAAAGGCACAAAACAAACATCAGTTAAACAAATGGCTAGAGTACATTTCCCTTCAAAATTTGATGCAAAAATTACACTGTATTTCATGTATCAACTCTCTGTCAACTTTTCTCTCCTGCTAGCACATGAAACCAGCAAAGATCTTGGAGGAACACTGTACGAGTTATCTCACTTTCAACTTAATCAGTAAATATTTTTTCCCATTCAGTTCAGAATTATGGGTGGTGATATATGACAAGAAACTTCCTTGAATGTTAAAGGTTGTCTTACTAACTTCCTCACTGAATTTGCAGATATTCTTAGCTGAAAGTTCTCTCTGATTGAATTCAATGGCAACTGGAAACATTAATCAGAGTGAGAAACAGGAAAACTTTCTCCAGCAACAATAGTTCTAAAAACTTGATCAAACTAATTTATGTTCCAATTCAAGGGCTTCAAAATTCTTACACCCCTCCACTGTTTATCCATATTGTGAACATGGAGCATTTCCATAGAAATGCTGCTACTGCCTCTACAGGATTAAGTGTGAAGGTGAGACCACTGCTCTCCAGTAAGTTTGATTAAAAAAAAAAAAAAAAAAAAAAGTATTTTTGGGTCTGACTTTGCCAACCCCTGGACTGCTGGACTGATATCCCAAAACCCCATAGAGCAACGTATGCATACAGATCCTTGGCAACTGATTAGTGTATCCATTTAGGTTTGGTTTCTTGTATGGGATAAGAATTATACTATTCAAAGAATCTGTGTTCTATAGCTAAAAAAAAAAAAATCAAATTCATCTCAGTAGCTGACATACACATTTGAAGTCTATGTTTTCTCTGTTTTATTTTGTTCTAGTGTTGCTGTACCAGAAAAATGAATTGGACAGTGAAGTAGATTGGGGACCATAAAAATAACTGAAGCTGGTATAGCACTTACCACCGTTCCAGTTCCTTAGTTCTGTATGATGGCTTGTGTACACAAAAGGGAAATAAATGAAGAGAGAGACATTACAAACAAATGTTTATTTTTGTCTTACTGCAGCTATGCTAGTGTGTTTTTTCTTTTTTTATTGTTTGTTTGTTTTTTGTTGTTGTTTGGATCATTATAAGCAACTGTAATGTTGGCTGTTAATTGAAATCTAAGATTAATTTAAGAAGAAAAAAAAAATCAAAATAGGCAAAGGAAAGGAAGAATATTTCATGAGAGTTACCTAAGTAATGCACAACTACTCTAACAAAAGTTATATGTGAATATATAGTACATGCAATATAATATGAAGGATAGTTTTAAAAGTGTGTGAGAGGCAGCCTCTGATTCCAGGTTCATGTTTTCTGAATTGTGCTTTGTTTGAAGTGGAATGCAGTGCAGACATAGTTATTGATGTGGTGATGCCTTGGCTTCCATAGATTTGCTTGTACTGAAGGGTTCCTGTCAAATGAGTTGTGTGAACTTATTTATCAAGTGTATTATAAAATGAGAGAAATATGAATTTTCTAAAGCGCTGGGATTCTGAAGTAATTTAAATCCTATTTTTAAATCTCAATTAAAATCAATAATACTTAAGCGCCTAGGGTGTTTAAAAATGTTACTCATGATAATCAGGGCAGTAGACAGACTTTCTTGAAAAGCTTAAATGCGGAGTTTTACTTTGTTCATTATCCAAGTCTGAATCTGTGTTTTCATCTCCAAATATATGAACCACTAACATACAAGTTAAGAAAAATAGAAAACAAAGCTGGTGATGACCCAGCCATTTTATGTGATACCCAGCCTCTGACAGTATTTATTTATATGTGAATAATTTTATCCTCAATTCTTCAAAAGAACTTCAGAAGGAGGTAAGTTACATGGTGTCTACTGCCTACTGTAGGGTAACTACAAATTTTATTTCTAGCCCTTTGATCTTACAATGAGATGCTCATAAATGTCTTTGATGTAGATTATGTTTATCTGAAGTAATATGTATTCTATTCTACTGAAGAATTTATCTATTGTAGAAATGCATAGAGCAACATGAGTTGTTCCACAGTGTGAAAATCAGGCATTTCAGGGCAACACGAGCCACTTTTTCTCTAAGCATAGGTCATAGGTGTCAGAAGATTCCTGCATAAATACTGGAATGGTAAAGACAATTTTTCCAACCCATAACTTTTTGCTTCAAACTGAGGAGTACCAGAACACAGATTACCAAGCCCTGGTAACCTCAGTGAACAGCCTGCTGTGTGGAGTGAAAACATCCCCCTCATTCATTGTCTAATTGTTATTTTTGCATTAAGGCATCTTTCTTTTTCATTTCATGGTCAAACACACTGGGTTTGATTGCAAGGGATTTTCCAAGCTCATATTCAATACAATTTCAGCGCATGGGGATTAGACAGGAAAGAAAAAGGACCAAGCATAAGCCTCAAATTGTTGCCATTAAGCACTGAGGTTTTCACAGGTTTGCAGAAAACTAAGGTGAGGTAACAATCATAAAGAGTTTTGAAAGTATTTTGAGCAATGTTTTTTTAAAAGCATTTAAGTCACGTTAAATAGCGCTGTCTGTGTTCTTGTTTATAATTTCAGCTCACCCAAACTTTTGAGTGTATATAATTTCTCTCCAGAAAGAGATAATAGAAGATTCAAATTCATACACACCTCTTGGGGGGAAAGACTTTTTCTCTATTCACCTACACAAATCATGTCTCTGAAAGAAGAATTTAAATCCCTTAGTCTTTTTCATGTTCTGCCCACTATGCTCTATGATACAATCTATCTTCATCACCTCTCTCAACACAGAACTCACACTTTGAAGTGCTAGATGTGGGGCAACTGTGTTTACTTCTATAACAAAAGAGTGAAATCTATTTTGTACACACATATGAGGATCAATGATCAGATTCTGAATTCAGAAAGCAATGTGTTTCAGAAAACTAATAGAAGCTGTGTTTAAAACAGATTTCAGATGTGACAAAACTGCAAAGTATAATAGAGGACATCTACCACTTCAATAAATGAATGAAAAGAATTACACTTCATTTCTTCAAGTTCTATTTATATTTTCTGAAATAGGAAAGTAAATTTGTTCATTTTCTGTTTGTGTATTCTGTGGCACAAATTCTTCATTGTGTGTGGCAAAGTAAGGGGTTGGGCAAAGGGAATGCCAAATGCCTGTTCATCCAATGTAAACTGAATGAGCTAAATCATTTTGAAATTCTGAGAAATCTTAACATGTATGAAATTTCCCCTCGTAGCATGTTAATATATATACCAATCTATTAATTCTCAAAACAGAAACCCAGTAAAATGACTGAACATGTGAACCAACCAGCCAGAAGCCTATATTTTTTTAACAGTACAGCAGAGAATTTAAAGATATTCTAAACCTACATTCTTTGAGCTAGAGTCTGCAAGGCAGGAAATAAAATAAAATAAAATAAAAATAAAATAATAAAAGAGGCACTTGGTTAAGTTCATCAAGAAAGATCTAAAGTACCTACTTCAATTTAGATAAAGCATTAACAAAAAATAAGATAATAAAATATTTCCAGTAAGCAGCAGAAATATGTGAAGTCCCACTCTGTCTCATAACTATGAGCAACATATTTGTCATACACACAACAATTATTTTAGCATATATCACACTTGTGTTCTGATGCTAGAACAGCTGTACCATAAATCCAGTACTTCTCAAATTCACACTAAGAGTAGTTGCAGGTTTGACAGATTTTGAAGCTGGAATATTAAAAAATAGGCTTTTTAGTAATGTCAAAATAGTCTTTTGAGATGAAGATTGAGAATTGTTGCCTTACTAAACTGACTACCTTACAAGTTCCTTAAAAACTTTCATTTAAAAATTCTAAATTGTTCTTAATATGTTTTTGTTGTTGTTAGTTGTTGTTGTTGTTTGTTTGTGTGTTGGATTTTTGGAGAGGTATTTAAAATCTTAAAAGAACAGAAACAATCTGGAACATAAGTGATATCTCAACAACTAATCTTGTGTGGTATTAAAGAAATCACATATTCTCCTCATGAGAGAAAAAACAGGAATTGATGGAACCTCTCTTCTTTAGATCACATTCCTCAAATGTTGTAGCATATGAACTGTATAGCAACATCATTTTGTTTGAATTTGCAGCACATGGTCTCAACAAAGAAATTATCTTTCTGTGAGTATTAAGATCCCTATATACCTTATCCATCTTTTCTAGTATACCATCCTCCTTGAAGTTATCCCTTAGACAGGAAAGTTAGAGGTGTTACTCTTTTGCTTTGCTTTTCTTCTGGAACAGAACCCCCAAAACACAATAAAAGCAATAAGGTTGGCAACATTTACAAGTGCTTTCATTTCTTCAAATCTCTGAGGATGAACTTTTCATGTGCATACATATGTGCACAAATAAAACTCCTACATTTCAGTGGCTAAACTGCAAGGAAATGTGTGTCATTTAAATATACCACTTGATTTCTTTCTACTGGGGATGATGGAATCGGAGTCTTTTCAAGAGCAGGTCTTAACATTCTACATTCATCACCTTTTCCAATGTGAATTCAACACAAATGTATCAGACATCAAGAAAATTTTGACCATGTTTTTGATTTAAATTCTCAGTTTGGCAATTCCAGATCCTGTCACTAAAATATTATCCTATTGTTACACTTTCCATATTTTGTAGAAGTAATTTCTGAATATTCTTGTTTACAATCTCTTTGAATGCATCTGAAGCTGCAAAAAGAAGTCTCTGTGAATGTAAAAGTATTTCTAAAATTTTGCATGATCTGAATTTTGCATTTATTGTTGGCCTTATAGTCAGATAATTGATTATTATTTTTCTTTTTCAGGAAAGCATAGATTTGGGTGAGATCATGTTTTCCCTTTGTTATTTGCCTACTGCTGGGAGAATGACATTAACAGTCATCAAATGTAGAAATCTCAAAGCAATGGATATAACTGGCTCATCAGGTGAATCTACTTCTTTTTTAAATAACAAGGTCGAGTCTATTCAAAAAGTGGATTAATAGCAACTCTTTTTTTTATGTGTATGTTTAACATGGTTGTGAAAGGAAGCAGTAAGATAGTGGGTATTGCTTCTGTACAGATCTACTTGCTATCTCTGGTATGACATTTAGTACATTTATTCAGAAGCCTATACCTTTCCATTGCACTGACAGCATATTGAAAACATAACTTCCCAAGGTCATAAAATGTTTGTATTTATATGTCTTACCAATATGACATACCTACAAAAAAACTGCTTAATATGTTTGAATGACTTTGAGTCCAAGTGCACACAACTGATTATTTGCTACTCAGATCCGTATGTCAAAGTGTCACTAATGTGTGAGGGTCGAAGACTGAAAAAGCGGAAAACAACCACGAAGAAGAACACACTCAATCCAGTTTATAACGAGGCCATCATCTTTGATATCCCTCCAGAGAATGTGGACCAGGTCAGCCTCTCCATTGCAGTGATGGACTATGATCGGTAAGCACAGTTTGCTCTCTGAACGTTAATCTTCAGTGAGACAGTATCTGATCATTGCAAGCAACTAATTTCTACCTCTCTGAACATACAGGTAGCTTCAGTATCACAAAAGACAAAGCCTTCAGACCTTTTCCTGGAGCAGTTTAAAGCTTCCTCAACTTTTAAAGCTCAGTTCATATTATTTTTGTCATAAATAACTGTGATGAGGACGAAATGTCTCAGTCTCCTTACCTGCCACTAACATTCTGTCCCCGTCTGGTGGCTGGACTATGCAAAAAGTCTGTCAAGTGTGTCTTCTAGTTTAAAAGAGAATGGAAGAATTAGGTGCTTAATTGTCTCATTGAATTAAGGTATAATAATACATAATTAATTATTTGGTTGATGCAATAAAGAAGCTTTGTAACCTTTGGGTTCAGCCCTCATTGATAATGTTTCCAAGCCTCAACAAATCTGTAACCTCACTGAGAACTGAAGAGACTGATGCTTAGAGTAGCACTAAGACTGCAGGTTAAATTAGACAATGATTGACAGCATCATGTCTGAGCCAAGCCTGCAGGCCTGAGGAAAGTAGGAAACGTTATTCTAAGGCATCTATAAGCGAGGTGCAAAAAATGACCTTCTGGATTCCCTCAGCAGGCATGTAGAAATATTAAGGTATAGCCTGTTATGGTTACACCCCTTGTCTTTCTCATTTTTGGCTGAAGTTCCAATTACCACAACAGTTAGAGTTAGGAAATGTAGTGTGAAATTATGTCTGAAGCATTTGGAACAGGAAATTTATTCCCTGGAGCAGAAAATTTATTCTTTCACCTTCTTCAGCAACAAAATTTAAATATGCTTTCCTTCTAGATCATTTGGTGTAATATGGTTCTTTTCTGTCTTTGTGTCTTTTGGGCTGTAACCTTTTTATGGCAAAGGTTAAGTCTTCATTGCTATTTTTATGGCTTCTAGAAGCACTCTGGTAGTGGCTGGAGGTTTTTGATGTTGCCATTACAGAACTTCGTACTACTATATTACCACTAAAACTAATATCTGTAATAAATAATGGGAGAACCTTGGGCATGCATTCTGTGCTGCATTAATCTAGTAAATTGAATTATACATCAGATTTTATTAAAACTATTTTTATTTAAAAAAAAATATCTGTCTCTATGTTTCCCAGAGTAGGGCACAATGAGGTCATTGGGGTATGTCGGACAGGAATTGATGCTGAAGGGCTTGGAAGAGATCATTGGAATGAAATGTTGGCTTACCCACGCAAACCAATAACTCACTGGCATCCACTGGTAGAGGTAAGAAGTAACACAATTCTTTCCTCAGTATTTTAAATGTTTTGTGTTATTTTCTCTCTAACATGTATGTGCTTCTGAGAATCATTAAACTCAGTGCAACACGGGAGTCACTGACCATCTATCAAGCAGCTATAATATTGTTACCTCAATCTAAATCTAGTTTCATGGGTTTACTCTTTATTTAAATTTTCCATTTCAAAAGTTTTCATGATGATACGGCATGATAGAGCATTGTAATATTAAAACATTTAAAATACCAACAATTAAGGAGCTTACATCCACTTATAAGAAATCATTTGCAACCATTTCAAAAGCAATCATTTCCTATTCAGAAATATTTAACGTTAATAGTTATGTTGCCAAAACATTAACCTGAAACTGGCCTTCTAATTGTGCTAAGTTGAGGCAACATACCAGCAGCTACCTCCAGAGTTGCTCAAGCAGACACTGATTGGAAGCTTATTTGCATGCATGGGTGCAATGCATACCTACAAATCCCTGGGCTTAGACTACCTCTTCCGCCTGCTATGGCCACATTTTATGGATTTTCTTTATATAAAATGCTCATTAGCTTTGGGTTTGAAAAGATTCGTACTGAAGTCTCAAGAAACAGTGGATCCTACTTTCGGACACAGAGGACACACTTTCTGCCCTCCCCTAAATCAATCTCTGTAGAAAAATGAGCTGCTGTCCAAAGCAACATGGTCCATTTGGCTTCTCGATCATTTAGCACATGGCTGCACAGCATCTTCAGTAATAGATAGAAGCAAACAAACAAACAAACAAAAAAAAAAGACAACCAGCAACAAGGCCTCGGTATAACATCTGAAAAAGATCAGTGCAAAACTGAAGCCTCTTTTGAGTGGTTTCTTGCTTTCTCTGAATTACTTATGTTTGAAGAAGGAGGTACCCTGGGTGGTTAAACCTACTCCTGTGGAAAGAGTCAGAGATTTTTATGAGGTCACTTTAGGAATTTTCTTACCATTATCAGTTCTGATTAAGAGTTTGATCCAGAAAGGGTCTGGTTGTGACTCAGGTTCTTCTTTGAGGTATTCTCTCATCCTCTGAAATGAGTGTGAGTCAGGGACATATTAATGACATTTATTATATTAACATTTTTCTCGCAGTTACCTGGTCGAGCAACCAGTTTTGACAGCCAGGGATCCTGTTCATCACCAAAACCACCGCTTACACCCTAGGGAACAAGAGTGGATTCATCATGTTCAATGTACAACGCTCCTATGTAGCTCACATCTACATGAACAGAAGGTTTGGCTTCTGCTGACGAACTGTATCCATATTTTTGTATTAAAACACATTTTTCCTATTCTGTCTTATATTACAGTTTATAATAATTTCTTATCTTATGAGTGAAATTGACTTGAGCTGAATATAATCTTTCTTCATAAAAATTCATTCACCTGTTTTCTCTGGCATATATCCAGTGTCATATCCAAGTATGGTTTTTATATGACCTGTATCTTTGCATAGACAAAGAAATCAGAAAAAAAAAAAAAAAATCCTTAAGCAATTCAAAACCATTGAATATCATAATGCTTAGTTCTTTTGAGGATAAGCAAATAGTCATATATGGCTATTGTATTAAATCTCTAAATTGCACTAAATCCTGTATGAGTTCTAAACACTTCAAGCTGAATATTGCATGAGAAAAAGCAAATAATATCAACAAAAACCTACTGTCACTTTTTTACTGTATGGAAAACTAGTTCGTTCATTGTGCAGGGAAAGAGGGCTGATCAAAAACCCACTGAAGCCAAGTTTACAGAGTAGGACCCTACTGGTTTCACTGGGTTTTAGTTCAGCCTTTAAGGAAGAGGTCACACAACTGTATCTATGCAGTTATAACTTTCCAGCAATTAGGATGCCCACTGCACCTACAGGAAACCTGTCTGTCATAACCACTAGGCATGTGTGCCCAGGCAAGCAGCTGTGCTTGGCAGCTATTTTGCTTCAGCTACCCACGGGCTGATGAAGAGCTAGCTCAGATGTCTGCATGGCACTGAACTATCACTGTGGACAGCAAATGTGTCTACAAGAAGCTGTGTGGAGGTTGATATAGCTCCACAGAGATGTAGTAGGTGTCTCATTATGAGGTGCATCTAGCCCCTTCAATAAAGCCTGTTTTCTGTGGGCATCATGCAGTCCTTTTCAGCCTTTATTCAGGCCAAACCAGAGATAAGAGAATGCTCTGAAATAGAAGAATTTATTTAATGAATTTTAGTATTCAAAAACTTGATCAAATTTTTCAGTTTCACAAAACATTTTTCCGATTCTTGACTTAGTATTTGTTTGAGATTATTTTGACTGAGTGCATAGCTCATGTAGGATAGTTTCTGATGCTGGTTGGATGCCTCAAATTAGATGTCTAATATGAATTTGAAATATGTTTTGTGTCAATATATATGGGAAAAAATAAAATGTAACAATTTTATAAACTAGTAAACTTATTAAATAGAATACAAAGTGAGAGCAAATACAAAATACATATATATATTGCCTGAAAGAAGGTAATTTAAAAAATGGAAGAGAAGTGCATGTTATTTTCTGGATTTAACTCTTCCTAATACAGATTATCTCAATCAGATACTTTTTCTTCCTTCTTTTTTTTTTTATTTTTGTTTTCTATGAAGAGCACAGAAAAGACTGAATGATTGGGACTGAGATTTTGAAAGCTGAATTGCAACTAGAAAAAATTGGGTTGGTGGCTCTTTTTGTATCTTTATAACATATGAAACATGTGAAGATAGTATTTTCCAAAATGTTTTTTCTACAGAAGTGTCATACATGAGAAAAATAGAAGATTATCTTATGATAATGGAAAAAAAATATGGGAATTAATCTAGCTTTGAATGGAAAGGGGGTCTTAGACTTCGAAAGAACCATTTGGGGTTGGTTAGTTTGGCTTGGTTGACACAGAAAACATTAATAAAGATCCAGCTCCTCCTGTAACAGTCAGACAGTCAGTCAGTTATACTCTGAAGTGTCTTGACTGCTCTGAGAAAGCTGGGAAGGCTGGTCTTAACATTACCGGTGTTTCTAAGGAAAAAAAAAAAAAAAAAAAAAAGGAGTAAATAAAGCTTTCAGGCATTCTTTGCATAATAATAATAATAATAATAACATAATAACAAAAAAAGGCTCCAACCCAAGTTTTTGAATGTCTGTTCCAGGTTGCTTTTCATGGATTCTAGACAGTAATAGATTTCCCAGAGACAGTTGGTAATGCTGAATACTGATCCTCCTAGATTAAGATTGTATTTTCATCACCATAACTACAGAACAACCTTGCAGAATTCATTCCTCCATTTGCTCCAGGTGACTAATATTTTAAATTGGAGAACATGATCTCTTTTCTGTTTTGTTGTTATTTTTTTCTCCTAATATCATCATCATGAGATTTTGTGGCCTAGATCATTCTCACAGTTCTTATTCGTACATAAATATATATGTTGATATAGAAAAACTATTTTGTGTATACATGTATCTTAATATAAATTATATCAGCAGTGGCCTTTGTGGCCTAGAAAATACTTTTTGTAATGTGGTACTGTAACAGTTGACTAAATATTCTTTGCACTTTTTTGCACCTAATATCCAAAAAGTTAACAATTTCACAATCAAATGTAGCATAACTGTTCAGCAATGAGCAACATCTTTTTAACTTTTTCATTATCCTCTATGAGTACGATTCATCATAAGTAGTATGATATTTCAACAGTCATTTCCTTAAATTGTTGTCAGACGCCAAAGGAATAATAGCTCACTATGTGCCCTGTTGCTGATTCTGTTGTTGTTGTTACGTTAGTTATGCTCCTGTTTGGGGGGGGGGAGGAGGTTGGTGGTTGTTTTTTCTTTCCTTTTTGTTTGTTTGTTTGTTTGTTTGTTTGTTTTTGGTTTTGTTTTGTATTGTTAATAATAATAGCAAATGACTTCTGTGTCTAAACTTGATTTATGGGTGCTCTGCGTATATGAAAAATCAGGCTGCAACATTATCAGGACATCTAATTTCAAAAATTATCACCTGGTTAATTCTTATTAATCCCTTTTCAGAGATTAATAGAATTAATGCAAAAGGTTATAATTTTTCATTTTTGCTTCACTATCTCATGAGACAAGGTATATATTTAGTTAACCTGTCCATTGGTTTTGGAGCCTGGTTCACACATTACTATATGAGTGAACTCACAGATGTACCTTTAAGTAAAAACTTAGCACAGTTTGTCAATTAATATGTTGCTTTATGAATCTCTTTATTAAGATATGTAAAATGTTTTTATTTGCAGAATAGTTGTAAATTTTCTGCTTCCATACTGAATATTTATTTGTTGTTTATCCACATTTCTGTCATATCACAAACATTAGCCTAATTTGAGAGAAATCAGATCTGGAAAATGGTGTAAAATATATTGTAGCAATTTTACAAGAGTTTTAAGAACTCACATTCCTGAAGCTAACTCACAAGCCTGAGTTATTTTTATTGAAATGTTTTGCTGGAAACAGTAATTGTACTTAATAAGAATTGTATTTTGCACTGCAGAGCTTTTTTGTACTTTCACAACAGTAAACCACAGATCTGTACAGAGAAAGTACATGATGGATTAAGTGGTTTCAGGGGAGCTGTTAAATTTTACATTTATTTTCAATAATGCACTGTAAAGTGAAAAAAGCCCACATACAAATGTATCTAATGAGCCATTCTGGTCTTTTGGGTAAATATTGTTTTCAAACAACTGCTTCCCTTTCTCACTTTAAATAAGTTTTCAGGGACCATTAGATTTGCTCTGAGCAACCATAAAATTGTTATTAGGTCTATGCAAAATGTTAAGTAGGACCCTAAAACACAGGTAGATTTAGGATTCCAGTGATACTGCAGACAGTAGCATAGGTTAGCAGATATTCAGTAAGGTGTAGGTCATATATTGTACTCTATGAACTCAACTTTGGATGGCTTTATTGTATCCATCTGATGGTATGGGCCTTCCCCACACTCTCTCAGCAAGTTACTATCTCTTTTCCCGCCATCTTTTTTCTATACTGGGTTTCTGTTCAAGCAGCAGACTTGACCCATACTTTTGTCTGTGCTGCTAAAAGATGACTTCTTTCTTAAAATGCAGTAATATGAAACCTGTGAGGTATAGGATAGCTAAATCTCTCATTTTCATTCTATGAAAAACTGTCAGGGAAGTAACTTCCATGTTCCACAGTCCCTTATGATACCCGGAAGTTTATGGAATCAATGATACTGTATGGTTTTTGGCTCCCAGAAAGCAATGAGGGCAATATATGTATCTCAGGGATATATATATTGGCCAAGGACAAAGAAAGTGTCCGGAATCAATGAGACAAAATGAGAGAATCAGGACAAAATCTCCCCTGCAACACTTCCTTTTCAATATATGGAAAAATTTTGACTTAATATTTTTACATATTTTTTTTAATGAATCACAACTTTATTCAACATTTTTGAAGAAAATTTTGAGCAAGCATGAAATGTTTTCATTGTTTTTTGTTTGTTTGTTTTTGCTTTTGTTTTTGTTTATTTTTTCCAAAGAGAAAAAGCAATTACTTCCTATCATTTTTCTATCGATACATTTTTGGAGCAATATTAAGAAAATTAAGTTTCCAAAAACCACTTATTCAATCTAACCATTTCTCCTAATTTTCAGGTTTTTTTATTCACTTCTATTTAATCCTTTTGAAAGATTTTAACACGCACAACACATGCATGATTCTTTGGTTCCCAGATTATTTTTGCTACATTTTTTAATAAATTAAGTGATTATATCCAATAAACTTTTATATGTATTAACTTTTTGTCACATTATCAATTAATTTGATTAATGATCTTAAAAGCTTTATACATCAGTTTCTGAAATCATTTGACTATATTTTTAAATGTGTAAAAATTTTAAAGTAACTATTTTAGTGAGTAACTATTTTAGAACTCCGTGATAGAATTCTTCTCCTGCTGAAAATATTTTTTTCAGAGATCCATAAATGTGCCTGCAAAATTTGAAAATGTTTTTTAATAGAGAATACAAAAGCTTAGATTTGCACATACAAGTATTTGCACTTGCAAAATGTATATATAATCAATCATTATTGTTTAGCACTTCTATCAAAACAAAACACCCCCACCTTATCAGAATAGATTTCAATTCATGAAAAATACTGGACGAATCTGTGCTGAGGTTCTTTGATCTAAAAAGTTCATATGACTATTTCTAGAAATATGAAAAAACTGTAGGTGTAAAATATGGTCTAAGTGTTAATTAGACAGTGAGGTAACTTTTAGGCAAATCTCATACAATATCTGTCAGACCATCCAAAATACAGATAACATACAGTATATATGACAGGAATATTAATGCAAGTTTTGATGGAAAATGTTCTCTCTCATTCACAGCACTGCTGAGACTCAGTTTAAGCCTTTGCTCAAAATTCACTTTCACTTGTCTTCTGAGGCTTGTCAGTCTAAACCGAGCTCTCTGGTGTCAGAAAATAGATTGTGCCAGAGAGCAGACTGCAGAGCTGAGAAAGACAAAGGAAAATGTGGCAACAGATGCACAGCTAGTCAGTTCAGCTGTAAATGTTCTAAAATGAAAAGCTTCCCTTCAAAACTGATGGTCATCCCAATATTTATATCACTTATCTTTTCATTATGTACTGTAAAGCAGGAAGAAAGAGGGAGGTACCCGACAAAAAGTTAGCATTAAGTGTAAGAATTAATTGAGGTCCTTATCAGAGTCATTTGCTGTATCCAAGGCAAATATTTTAACTTCAAAACTGTCTTTTGTTTACTAACCCAAATGAATTAATGCCTCATACACAATTCCCCTTTTCCTTAGTCCTGGTTGGAAATAAGCAGTTTTGTAACAGCACACAACAAACCAGGAGCTGGAGCCCTAAGAAAATATGAAGCTGCATGTGCGATTTAAATATCACAGGGGAATCTGGCCAGAAAATGGAACTAACACCTTCAATTTTGTGCTAAGTGCTAGGGGATGCTTGATGATAGTAAGTGCTCAGGACTGTGATTTTATATTTTATCTGATAGCACCTCTACAGTGTTGCTGTTGCTGGGAAACCTCTTTGAGTCTTTATTGACTCAAAGAAGAGAATGCCACTGGTATTTCTAAGTAAAATTTTTCCACTCCATTATAGACCATGACTCTTACATTATATGGAACTCAGTCTTCTGAAAGATCACAAAGCGTGTTAAATTAGCAAAACAGAAAAAATCAATTCAAACTGCACCATCATGAGGACTATTCTCTTCTTTGATAATAAGGACAAAATTTGGTGCCTTAGTAATCCAAGAGAGCATGTTCATGAGTGCTCTATAGTGATAAGTTCGTGGTGGTGAACTGTTTTAGCACTGTTGAAGAGCCTCACTATCAACACTGGAAAAATAAAATTAATGAATGTAAATACAGGATAAATAGATTATCAGAATGCCAAAGCACTATCTAGTGGGGAAGACATAAAGATTCTCTAAGCACTATCTAGTGGGGAAGACAGAAAGACTCTCTAATATATAATTCATTACCGTGTTCTGAAAGCTGGATCTGTAGGAAGTCAGATACCTGTTGTGATGAAAGTGGATCTTTGTAATAATTTATGAATACAATATGTTGACTTGTCTATTGGTCTCAAATTAGGGGGGAAAAAGAATATGGAGAGAATGCTTGTCAGTGGCATGCCTCTTAGAAGAACGTGAGATTTTCAAAATGTTAATATCTGTCCTGGTGGACCAGAAGATTTGACAGATGCCCCAGCCAGTCTGAAAAATGCATCTCACCTAAATTGATCATAGTCCAAGCAGGCAAAGGAAAAAAAATATATAGATAGGAAAGATCAGGAGATCTGTTTCAGAACAGGCAAGATTTATGTCTGAGCAGGCTAAAATGCAAAGCATTGCTAAATTTTACAAAGAAATCAGGCTGGATTAAACTCCCATTAATGGATGGAAAAGCTTTAACAGAGTGGATATGCACATATAGACCATTATTTTCAAATCCATTTCTTTGAAATATTAAAGCTTACATATTTAAGCTTAGTTAAATAACATTCTATATTTAATTAAGTGGAGTATTCAGAGCCTTCCTAAAAGAAAAGTTGCAAATCCATTCAGACTGTCCAGGTTAGCACAGTTACTATAGAGACAGTGTCCCAGAGCCCAGAATAATTGTGAGAATTGTGAAATCCTGACTCTCCCCTGAAGTGGTGAAGTCAGAATGCCTGACAGGAAAGGAGATCTGAAAACAGACCAAGTTAAAAATAGGGGTACATCTATTTCATTACATCTTCAGAGTTTACAGAGAACTTTCCCACTCATTTATTACACATGGCATATCAATAGAGTGACATCGACATGTTTTCATGACAGCAACATAGCCTTTATACAGCATTTTACCGTCCCTCAAAATACAAGCACGTTTTGGAGAGATTACTTTTTAAAAATATTTTGGTACTTTTGCATACATAAGAAATTCAAACACTTGAAGTAAAAGAAATCTGTCCATGCATCCATGTATAAAAAAAAAAATAAATGATGATAATAGTAAAAAAGATGTAAAATAATAGTATGGATTTAAGACCAGATAGTTTGGGACCTCTTAGAGTTAAAAGGAAAGGCTGTGCTTTTCTTTATTAAACAGTCTTTTTCTGTAGGTGCAGAATTCCTATTTGTGTAATTCCCACATAATCCCTGCATAATCCCTAATATCAGAGATATTCCAAAAAATGCTTGTCAACATAACAAACAGACGTTTTAGGCATGACCACCAAAAAGGAACCTGCATTTTGGGACAGTTTGCAGGTAAATTTCAGGGAAGGAGAGATTGTGAGCTATTAGCAGGTTTTGTGAAGCAGATATGCTGATATAAATACTGTCTCCAAGAAAAGAGAGAGAAGGGGTTTTGTTCAATATGTTGTGAGTTGAGACTGATGATTGCATTAGAAGTAAAGAGTAATGAACAAGAAGATATTTAAATCTTGTGTGACATCTGAGTCATGAGCAGAAGAGAGGAGAGGAGGGAGAAAAACCTATTAAGCGTGTAAAGAGCTTTATAGAAAAAAATTTATTTATTTATTTATTTTTAAAGTAGATAATACCAAAAGTCTGTGAATTGAGAGCATTTTCCATAGTAAAAATGTACATGTAGCACACACTTCCAGAAAAAAAAAAGAAAAAAAAAGAGAGATTTTTGATGTAATTCCCTTACCTTGTGTTTTACAAAGCTGTCTGCAAGTTTACAATGGGAGCCATGTTGTAGACTCTGGATCTATTCTTAAAATAAATATAGTCCTCCACCCTACAGATCCTGATCCCAGAGGAGCTACACTGCAAAGGTTGCTGGTAGTTGCACAAGACACATTCTCCCCTTCTGGTCCATCTCTTGCAGCATAATTGAGGCTGAAAAAAAAACACCAAGGTGCACTCAGACACATTCCTTTCTAGGTGCTGCAATGGCCTCCTTTCTCTTGGCACCTGGAATAAACTGAAAAGTTTCTGACAGGTGAAAAAATCATTTTTATATAATGCCACCTCTTCACATTTTCAAAGCTTCAGACAATCAGTAAATGAATTAAAAACCAACAGGCAACACCTTTAAAATGCTGCTGAGGCACAAGGCACTGGTTTTGGTTTTGAGTCAGGGCTAGACTTATGTCACACAATGGTAGAAGAGTCACTAGGCTGTTGCAGGTGCTAATTCCTCAATGACTCACAAAACTGAAGTCATAATTATGGTGTATTTCTCAGTTAATATCCCAGAGATCTTTGTGTATGAATAGCGTACTCGAACCGATGTTCCAGACAAATCCTGTCTCCTCCTGTTTTTCCTACTCATGCAGGTTCAGCTGAATAATGATTTTTTATTCCTTTGTCCTAAATTGTCACACAGTACTGAGTGTACTAGATTGCTTCACCCTGGGAGTGGCTGCCTCTTACTGAAAATCATTGTGATCAATACGTGACCATTACCTCCCTCACCATGTTTTTCTGAGGCTTAATTGCATAATAACAGTTATGAGGGAAAGGACTGCATAGCTGAACAAAGCATAGAATTGCCAATTGTAATTGTTCTTGGCAAAAGGGTATGTGTGGATGGGTGTGTCTTCTTTATGTGAATGGAGATTTGGCTACCCCAGGAAATGAAAAAAGGAAATTTGTTAGACTCTCCAAAGGGCACTTTATACTATGTTGCATTTATTCCTTTCAACTTTCCTTCAGTGTGTTTCATGATCTTAATTGTCCCTGAAGGACAAGAACTTAATTCGTTTAGTTAAACCTACAACCTTTTCACTTTGCAGTCCACCAAACACCATTCCTTACCAATTACCAAGGTAAATTTGGGCCAGATAATCAAAATCACTGACTACAAATTGTAGCTTTATCTTAGCCAGCAACTGAATCTGCACAGTTAGACCTTTTCTGTATTATTCTGAAAGGGAGCCTGGCACTATTGCACTTTAGCTACTTGCCAGTAGCACACAGAAAATTGTAGGTCACAGTTAGGTTTCAGAGAAGCTCTGAGGATTAACCTCTAAAATCTTGGATCTGATTCTGCATGCCCTCCAGAAACAGGGCAACCCATGAAATGAATGAGCAGTCCTACCTAAAGAGGGCTTGATAATGAGAATGAGAAATCCATGCTGAGAAAAGAGATTTCATTCAAATTAAGGAATTTCAAGGCATTACATATATGCCTTTTTTTTTTTTTTTTTTTTTTTTTTTTTTTTTTTTTGTACTGTTGTTAAACCTTTTCTTAAAACCAGACTTCACAATTTAATCTCTAGCAGGGCAAAAAGTGGTACTTAAGTACCAATCTACTCATGCACTGAAAATAATATTGATGCAAAAAATAAAATAAAATAAAATAAAACTTAAAGCCTTTTTGCAAAAAATACTAATGGCAGTAAAATATAAAGATGCTGAGAAAAAGACATTTTGCTTATTTTGAGATTTTTTCCCCCCTTTTTTAAAAATAACATTAGAATACTTCACCCCTTTTTCAGGTCTTTCTCAAGAAAACCACAAATTGTTAAATGTATCTACTGTAGCTTTAACATTTATTGAAATAACATAGCACAAGAAGGTGATTTATTTCAGCCTCTTAATGCATAATTTCAACAACACACATTTGTATATTTTGTATTAATAAAGAAAGCCTACCAAAATCTATTAATTTCCATTATATTTCCAAGGTACAAGTGTACTATGCTTTCAAACCCATCTTTCATTTAGGTCTATCACTTGCTATTTTCTATGGCAATTGTTTTTGTGTTAATTATTTTTATTTTTTTTTAATGTTATGGCAGTAGACCATTAAATCAGCCCAGCAAAATTATTCTGTAGGTCTTTTAAATATGTTATTTCATTCTGAAACTCAGCATTATGTAAGTGACCAGTCCACTGTTGAAATTAAGCAGAAACACTGCTATTGATTTCAGCTGGCTTTGCATTAGCTTGTATGTGATGTTGTATGATAGCAACTTATGAAGTGAACTGAGTTAGGAGTCTCAAGACAAGTAGAATGAATTCTCTTATATCCACCATGGATATTTGCAGTTTGCTGACAATTCAGATTATGCTAAAAGTCTTCAGTGTGTCCTTAGGGTATGAACTACTGTTGCAAATGCTAATTTTACTAATACTGGTAAGAAATATGAGCCTCAGCTGCCTGATTTGGTAGATAAAAATGTCTAGTCTCTGTAGTCAGGCATAGAGGTCAGGTGTATTTTTACTGGATTTTTCCTTTTTAATAGTGGCCTACAGTTTTCCACGTAATGCCATCTTGCTAATGAAGCTCAGAGGGTGTCTGTATAGGTAAAAATCTTTAATATATAATATTTAGATAGTCATGTTGCAGATAAAGGAATTCTTTTTAGTCTATATTTCTATGGGAAAAAATATTAAACAAAATTTACTTTTGTTAAATAAATAGAAAATTATTTCTCAAGAAAAGGAGAAAGTATAGATATATATTTCATGATGTTTCTTGTTTAATTTTCTTCCAAGTATGAGTTTCATTCCCTATTCTTCTGTATTTCCACGAGTAATCTTAATAGGATACATTCAACTTAAATATACGTGTAAGGACAGGATATGGCTAGTTCTCTACCCTACAAGCAGCCACTGCTGGCGTACTGATTTGGTGACACACTTCTGACTTGTGTGCTTTCTCCGCTTTGTGGTAGAGATCACAATGAGGGCCTTTGTTCAGCAAACTATTTGCAATGTTTTTAAAATGTGAGCTGCTAGTTGAGTCCCATTGAAATCACCATAGCTTGGGCATGCACCCTGACCTGAGCATCTGCCCAGGGGTTTTGCATTGTCTAGGAATGGACAAACATAGGGAGTCATGGCTAGACTGGATGCTCATCTTAGTTTAGACTAAAAGCACATCTCAACACCCTCCATGCCAGCATAGCTATACTAGCCAGGATGGGAGAGGGCAAAGTCAAATTGCATTTCCTTATTATCCTGCTCTGCCCGGTCCTCACCATCTTAGACAGCAGGCCTGCAGCAATGGCTCCTCTGCATGTAAGGAGGATGCCTTTTGAACCACTGCAAGGGGAGTCCCCAAAAGCCTCTCCTTTCTTCTCATGATCTTGTAGTCCACATTGGATTTAAACCACTCATCTTCAGTGGGCTACTTGTGAGAAATGAAGCAGAGGAAGTAGAATACAGAAATTAGCCACATCTTTCCTTCAGCAGAGATCATTATGTTTTTCTAGTATATGCTTATTTGTGGAAAAGGCATTCTACAGAATGTATGCTTCAAAAGGTAGGAAGTTAAATTGGAGTTCCTGGCCACAGGAAATGTTAAAAAATACTTAATATTGAAACAATAAATATTTTGAAATATAAAAAGAAAGCACCCAGCACAATGCCCACCAGAATAAGTATCTTTGCTGTAACAATATGGGGTTTGGATTAGGCCCCATCTGGCCCAAACTCTAACAGAACTCCCTACCTTTAAAATAATCTTTTGATTAGAACAGAACTGTTGCCAAGTCTATGTAGCTTACAAAGAACTGCAGAGTTCTTCTAAGATTTTGTCTGTTCTTGCTATGTGGTGTTGGCTGACCAAGACCTAATATTAAATACCTGACTGTTTTAGTAGTACCCTTTATTTCGTGTTCATGACGTGACTTTTTAAATGAAGTCTGTGATTTGATACTTAGCCATTGTTCAAGTCAATATCCTTGGCTTCTGCGTTATAAAGAAAAAGAAAACTTTGGACTCGTGTAACTGGCTTTTTGTATGCGCTAAATGGCCATTTGTGAATCTTGAGAGCATATAATTGTACTACTGATAGTAAATGTTTTTTTTTGCACTAGCCTTTAAGAGCTGTAATACATTTCAGTATTTTTACAATGTATTCTCTAGAAAGTGTGAATTTATTTGTCAGTTCTGAAAAAAAATACGTAACAATGAAACCTCAAAAGATGTTATGAAGTGTACAGTTTGTGATAATTTTATATTTAAAAAAATAAAGAAAGAAAAGAAAAAGAACACAATTGAAATAATTTTATTCTAATTGTTTCATATGTATTTTGAAAAAGAAATAAAGTGGTTAAAACTATTCTTATCTTTGTCTTTTTTGAGAAACAAACTGTTCAAGAGAAAACACAATCAGTAGGTTATAAGTTGCTTTTTGCATTTCAATTTACAAGAAAATACTGAGCCATATTGGAAAAAAATAACGCTATCTGGTTTACATTTGGAGCTGTAACTAAATAGATGCATAGACCATCTTCCCATTTCTTCTCTCTGTCTTCCATACCAGAATTCATTGTGCTCCTGAGGTATATTTCCATATTCTTGATGCCTTAAGATCAATGCTAAACCTAAAATTTTATTTCATTTTCATTTCCATAGAGAGGAAGAACAGCCTTTATAACCTTTTGACCTCACATTGAAAACACTTCCTATACCCAAGTATCATTACAAAATGTTTTCTTCTAATGAAGTTATTACTAAAATTCTGAACCATGAAGGGGACATTTTTGCCACCAATTTTCAGGGCTGAAGACAAACATATTTGAACGAAGACCAATTAAATCAAATAGCTCCATTACATTAACTAGTACTTTGTGTAATGCTTTTCACATTATCTTCCATTTCCTGCTATGATTTTGTTTACTGTAATCTTCAAAGTCATTAGAGCATATTTTAAATAATAGGTTAATTATTCAATTTAAGATTATTAAAGTATTTAAGGTTATTGAAGTATTTCACTTAAGAGACATAAGTCTGAATTCCAACTGCCTTGTTCTTAATTGCCTAATCACTTAGATCAAACAGACAAGAACTTTACTACCATGCAAGGGAGACAAACAGATATGGGTAGGACTTATTTTATGTTTATGTTCAGCTGAAGCTAATGACAACATGTTATGAAGCAATGATGATCCAGGGTTGACAGCCTTAAGCACGTCTGATATTCTGTTGGCTTTATCATGAGGACACTTTTTGAAATAAGAAACCTAAGTTTCAAGTGTCAAACTTCAGCTGGATATGATGTTTTTTCATTCTACCAGATGCCTAATTCCATCTGATAAAAACAGAGATAAAACACCACTGTTCTATATCTTCCAACCTGGAGAATACTTTCTGAAGAAAAAATAGTACCCAAGTTCAACATACAAGCAATTGTCTTTTGGTATGCCTTTGTAATTCTTTTGAAGTAAAAGTAAATACACAATATTGAGGTTCCAATCCTGTTTCTGATATCTGCTGGCAGAACATTAATCTACCCTTAGTCAGATGTCCACTTCGGATATAACATGCAATTCAGTTTTCAACTTCATTTCAGGGTCTAGGTTTACATTGGTGATCGAAAGAATCAGTTTTCTTTGAAGAACTGCTTATCTTTATCTAGCAGAAGTAATGTCATTCTGATTTGATATTACCTTTAATCTTAACATTTCCTCTTTAATGTAATAGAGTACTTATTTGCATTAGAGGGATAGGTTCTGGTGGTTCTGAGTAGTATAGTTTCTTTTGGAAAATTAGCTGCAACTGAAGTAGAAGGAATACCACACTCTCCAACATTTCACTGTAGTCTGTGCAACATAATTTCCTATTAAATTCCTAATCCTTGCACTTAAATCATTCCTGAATGTCTCTGCATTCCTTACAATAAACAAATTTACTAATCCACTGAGGAGCTGGAGGATATGCAGTTTAAAATAGTGGAAGAACCAAAGGGAAATTAGGAGGTGATTTGTCAGGAAATGTGGAGAAGATGGGAGGGCAGACAAATCTTTCAGAGGTTCAACCTTTCTACTAGTTCTGCTTCCCTCACAGAGAAAGAAGCAGGTGCTCAAGAGCAGTGTTGTGGCTTCTCCATGGCTTCCCAGCACAGGTTGCATGAGGAAGGCTGTTCTAACAGGCACAGACCTCTTCCCTCTTCATAGAGCCAGGTCATGTTGCAATGTGGGAGGCTTCATCTCTCCCTCAACTTTTCAGAGAAGGACTGTACATGCTACTGCAAGTAGAAGAGCTCATGGTGCACTGTGATTTTTCCAAGTTTTTCCAAGTCCTTTTTTCACACACCATGAGGTTTGGAGAAAACTCTAACTTCTGGTGGCTATTGACTGTCTTTCCAGCTTTCCTCAGAAACACACTAAAACAATTACATCTTATTGACTTCAGGAAAGGAGAATGGCTTTTGTGGGTGGTCACACTGTTCTAGCCCACTGAAAAATAGACATGATGTAATTTCACAACTTATTAAATATTCTTACATACAGAGAACAGCACTCTGTCTCAGCCAATGCATGCTATATTAGCACAACATTTAAGAATGATGTAGCAAAAATCAGGCATCTGAACTGAATATCTCCTGTCTTCTAGGCTCCAAAGTATTTCTCTAGATGAACTTATATTTTGCATGGAATACATGACAGTTTCTCAAAAGAAAAAAAAAAAAAAAAAAAAAAAACAAAGGAGGCAAAAGTATGCATATATATAATGTCCTTTTATTCTGCTAAAACACGTTAGTTCAGATAAGGAAACAGAAATATTACTTTCTCACAATATTGCCTACTATATCATTCTGAAAGCTGAATAAAAGCCCTCCTGCTGCTGCTGTTGTAGATAACAGAGTCCGTTGTTTAACTCAAATGACAGACATGTATTTTTAGAACAAAAGGTCCTGCATGAACTTCACTCTCTGTGCTTCTGTGCTGATTGTAGGCAGCTCAGCTGACCACAATGCTTGTTACAGTCATACCAGAGAGTTTGTTTTAAAAGCTTTAAGTCTCTGGCACTATAAATACAGAAATATTTGTCACCTGTCACATTCTGAAGGCAGTATTTTGGCAGAAGCACAAGTACTCTGATTTGCACATGCACTGATTTTGCCTAACATGCCCACCATGCCTAAATTGCCCAATTACTCTCCCTTTTGGAACTGTAAAATGCAGCAATCACATCTTAAGCTCTGCTACAGAATTGGTGAGCATATTCACTCCCACTCAGGTGCTTTTTTGCCTTCTCCAGCAGAAATCTTTTGTGTCCTCAGGCTTCGTACTACACATCTCTTCAAAAACATCAGTTCTTTTTGTGTCATTGTCATACATCCCATAGAGCAGTGCATTTCCAGTTAAGTTGACCAGCCACTGTAACCAATTTTAACTTTTTTCATAGTTTTTATAAATAAATTCTTTTCACTGTAATGACATTTCTCAAGGAAAATGGTGAAGAAAGCCACTTGGCTGCATTCTGAAGTTTGGCTGTGTTGGATATTTATATATACACACACACACACACATATAGAGAGAGAGGTATACATATAGATATATAATGGCTAATTTCCATGTGCTGCAAATTACTTTCCTTTTGTAAATCAAAAGTGAGATTCACAAGAGTGTGTTGCCTCTTCCAACTCCAACAGAATTTCAAAAGAACTTTTGAGGATCAACTTTTTTTGGAATGACTGAATAACACTTTCCATAAGGTTAGCAGTTATGAAACACTCACTGAGATTCAAGAAGAGAGTCAAGACCTGAGACTTTACATATTAAATAACATATGTGAGGTTATATAAAATTAACTGATATATAGTCTTTGCAACAGTGTGATTGGGTAGGTAAGCTTTATATAAAGTTGACTAAGTAAATATTAATTGTGTCAATAGTACATAAAAAAGCACACTTTCTTGAAATATTAGAATATATTAATGACTTTGTACTTAAATATGGATGAAAATAGCAAAACAGAAGCATTGCTAACTTACACTGAGATTTTATCTAAGTTAGAATTTGGATTTGGGCTATCTGAGCTCTTAATTTCTGAGCTCTGTGTCCATTAGATCAAAAAAAAAAACAACAACAAAAAAAAACAACCAAAAAAAAAAAAAAAAAACACTAATAAATTTCTTTGACCTTGATTCTTGTTCTTTAGGAAAAGCTTGTTAAAGGCAGTTTGTTAAAACTAAGACACAGTTATCATGTTCAGACATTCTTTAATTAACAATCAAGAAAATATTTTTCTTTAAGAAAATGTCCTGCTAAAATCCCTCTGCTACCATACCAAAATGGTTTGACTTAAGCTATCTAACCAACTTTGCTAGTCATCTACCACCTCATATAAAGCTCTTATAAAGTCCGTATAAATCTCATATAAACTGATTGTCTTCTGAGTGCAGTGAATTACATGTAATTTTGACTGACATTGTTGTCTGTTGTAATATTTATCACCAACAAATTACAGACAAACAGAAAATTATCTGTGCCCAGAGGTCCTTAGTGCCAGAACCCTGACCAGCATAGATGCCAATCTTCTGAACCTGGAAAGCATCCAGAATACAGCATCAAACAATTCCTCACTGATTTTCCTTAGTGGATTCTGCTTCTGACTTAAATGTGACAACATTTTTGTCAATAATTTTAGGCCTTCTAACTTTCTAACTAGAGCATCACTTCCACATAGTTCACTAGCAGCAGGGAATTGGCAACCTAGATAGTTTTGCCCATGCCTACAAGCAGAAGTAGAGGTGTTTCACAGGAGGAAGCTGTAGTAACATTTTGATTTGGGGTTGTGGCTGCTAGCTAAAAGATCAATGCAGATGTTTTGGGAAATGTTTGTCTGCTGAGAGAGATCAGTTCTTTATTCCTAAAGCCTGATAAAATCAACCCATTATGGCTGGAGTTTGGGAGCTGGAACCATCACACAAGCATACGAGTGACATGCATCAGAAAAATTATTCCTTCCTCTTCTTCCCCAGCTCCATAGAATCACTTGTGTATTCAAAATGACCACCCACTGGAATAACATGGGAGATGGTTCTCACTGTCCCACAAACATTATGGCTGGCAACAGAAATAGGTTCACACACTCTGTCTGTGGCACAAATTCTCTTAAATGAGATCAGCATAGCCATATATTCAACCACCATTTCAGAGAGTCAAGCAGTCATTGGAGGGAAATGGAAGAAACCCAGGATAGTTAAGAAAAAGAAAACAAAATGTATTGTCAAACTACACAATGTTTGGTTGCTTTCAGTTGATTCCTTTTAGTTCCTTTGGCCTGATTTTAAAGTGATTTTAAATAAATATCTAAAGC